ACTTTTCACACAGAGACTCTTCACACAGAAACTCTTCGTGCACATGTTTTTCACCCATATACTTTTCACCCAGAGACTCTTCACCCAGAAACTCTTCTTGCACATACTTTTCACCCATATACTTTTCACCCAGAGACTCTTCACCCAGAAACCCTTCTTGCACATACTTTTCACCCATATACTTTTCACCCAGAGACTCTTCACCCAGAAACTCTTATTGCACAGACTTTTCACCCAGAAACTTTTCACCCAGAGACTCTTCACCCAGAAACTCTTCTTGCACATACTTTTCACCCATATACTTTTCACCCAGAGACTCTTCACCCAGAAACTCTTCTTGCACATACTTTTCACCAATATACTTTTCACCCAGAGACTCTTTTTGCACATACCTTTCACCCATATACTTTTCACCCAGAGACTCTTCACCCAGAAACTCTTCTTGCACATACTTTTCACCCAGAGACTCTTCACCCAGAAACTCCTCTTGCACATACTTTTCACCCATATACTTTTCACCCAGAGACTCTTCACCCAGAAACTCTTCTTGCACAGACTTTTCACCCAGAAACTCTTCTTGCACAGACATTTCACCCATATACTTTTCACCCAGAGACTCTTCACCCAGAAACTCTACTTGCACAAACTTTTCACCCATATACTTTTCACTCAGAGACTCTTCACCCAGAAACTCTTCTTGCACATATTTGTCACCCATATACTTTTAACCCAGAGACTCTGCACCCAGAAACTCTTCTTGCACATATTTGTCACCCATATACTTTTCACCCAGAGACTCTGCACCCAGAAACTCTACTTGCACATACTTTTCACCCATATACTTTTCACCCAGGGACTCTTCTTGCACATATTTGTCACCCATATACTTTTAACCCAGAGACTCTGCACCCAGAAACTCTACTTGCACATACTTTTCACCAATATACTTTTCACCCATAGACTCTTCACCCAAAAACTCGTCTTGCACATACTTTTCACCCATATAATACTTTTCACCCAGAGACTCTTCACCCAGAAACTCTTATTGCACAGACTTTTCACCCATATACTTTTCACCCAGAGATTCTTCACCCAGAAACTCTTCTTGCACATACTTTTCACCAATATACTTTTCACCCAGAGACTCTTCACCCAGAAACTCTTCTTACACATACTTTTCACCCATATACTTTTCACCCAGTGTCTCTTCACCCAGAAACTCTTCTTGCACAGACTTTTCACCCAGAAACTCTTCTTGCACATACTTTTCACCCATATACTTTTCATCCAGAGAATCTTCAATCAGAAGGATTTCTTGCACATACCTTTCACCCATATACTTTTCACTCTTCACCCAGAAACTCTTCGTGCACATACTTTTCACCCATATACTTTTCACCAAGAAACTCTTCTTGCACATACTTTTCACCCATATACTTTTTACCCAGAGACTCTTCACCCAGAAACTCTTCTTGCACATACTTTTCACCCATATACTTTTCACCCATAGACTCTTCACCCAAAAACTCTTATTACACATACTTTTCACCCATATACTTTTCACCCACAGACTCTTCATCCAGAAACCATTCTTGCACATACTTTTCACCCATAGGTTGACGAGGCTTGGGTGGAGGGGATGCCTGTTCTTCAGACCCAAAGATCCCAAAGCATGTGCAAAGCACTTGAAGAATTTGAAGCACTCAAAAAATGGCTAAAAGGTTGGTTAAAAGGTGTCAGGAGAGGCGTTAAGCACCGTCAACACGCAGCCGCTTCTTGCAGATTGTTTGGACTGAAGCGGACAGAGCACTGTTGACATATCATGCGACAAGAGCAGGAGGTGTGGCAAGAGTTGCGAAAGAGAGTCAAATAGACGTGTTCACACATATTCACGCCCAAAATCATTTCAATTCTATCGTGCATGTGTGATCATGTGTGATCATGTGTGTATGTGTTTGTGTCTGTGTGAGTTTACAGGTCTTGAGATGGTCTGATGTCCGGCCTTCGGAAACTTGACACCTGCTTGGGCTTGGAGAAGCGGAGCTCGCTGAGCTTTGGGTGACCTCAGCACAGGGAGAGTAGAGCCTGGTTCTCAGCACGGGTCTTCCATTCTCACTTCCTTTGTCACTTCCATTGTCTTCCTAAAATTTGACACTTGTGCATACTTGTGCCACTTGTGTTATGACTGCTACAACCATATAGATTCTCAAGTGTTTCCACATTGCCAATACAAAGCTTGCAAACCTCTCCAAGCTTCTAGTTGAAAACACGCTTGCATCATTTTGGCTGGTAGATGTGGTTTTAAAAAATACTGGGTGCACGTGCTGCTGCAGAGGCTTTGAGCGGACAGAACATTTTCGGAGCTGCAAGAAAAATCAGTGCGGCGATGCCCAAGGAGAACTATGAAAAGCTGAGGAGTTCTGGAATTGAAATGATCATGAATGATCTGCATCTGTACATGAAATCACTTTAACGTCACTTGACATCACTTGACAACATGATCGGAGATAGGCAACACTTTGGCCTCTGCAATCTCTTTATTTTTCTTCTCAATTTGAAGCTTCATCTTTTGGACTTCGTCGAGCACCTGCGAAGGCTTTCGAAGTGGGACTTGGTGTGGCAACTTTCCCACCAGCAAAGCACAAGGCATCAGAAGGGATCACAATGCATCACAAGGCTGCAACCAAATCAACTAATGCCTCACTGGTCTATTTCTGCAATCGTCCTCAAAACTTGTGGCACAAAGTTGGACAACATTTGTCGCACAGGTCATCAGTATTCTTGAGGATCTTCTGAAGTTTGCGTTTCCTCGAGTTTCGCATGTTCTGCGATTTGTTGTTCAATTAGCATCAATTCTCAACGAGGGCGCTGCTCGCAATGGGTCAGCCTCGTCTTTTGCTGCCTCAAAATAAAAGTGCTGGAGATTCAGAGGGTACACTGTGGCGCTTGAAAAATCCCTGAGAGAGATACGTCTTGATGCCATGCATCTGCAGATCCGATGTGACCTGGCGGTGTTCTGCACAAAGACTGGTTTGTTTACTGTATTTCTCTCTGTTTATTTTCTTTCATGTTCTTTCTCTGTTTCTCTGCTTCTTGTTCTCTGAAAGAAAGGAGGCAAGTATAAGTCAGTACAAGCATGGACTCATGGCTTACATCCCGAGGTTGCTGCGTGGCCCGAAGCGGAGTAAGGACGACTGTAATCTTTGGCCAAACCTGGGCTCAGCATGGCTCAACAAAAAGGTCAGAGAGGTAGAATCCCTGAACCCGAATGCATTTCTATACATACCCATGAATGAGGAGACTGAGCCTTCTACACATCACACTCCACAATCTACTCTTCACACTTCACACTCAACACTCTACACTTCACGCTCTATTCTCTACACTCTATATACACTCTGCACTATGCACTCCACACTCTACACTATATACACACTACGCGCAATACAAACCGCATTTGCACCTTACAGCCTACACATCTGCACTGCACTCTACACTTTAAACTCCACACTCTACGCTCTACACTCTAGGATCCACACCCTGCACTCCCCACCCTACACTCTCTACACTCCATACGCCCTCCATACTCACTCCGTACACAAAAGCATCTTCGCAACCCTCGAAAATTAAACGTGTTGCAGCTTCCGCTATAGGCATGGAATGTAGGACGCGGTTAGCAACCTGCGACAAGTTCACGCCTGGGTCTCACCAAGTGCCACGCCTGCCACGCAAAATGACAGTGCACACCTTCAAAATGCCACGTTTTGCCGTATTCGCTATGGGCACAGGGAGACGGGATTAACGATCAAGGGACGCCCCGCGATAACAATCACTGCAAACAAGGCTCCACCCCTAGACCCCCTCCCAAGAAAACAAGAACCCTCGCTACGCATTCAGGATCAAAGAGCAAAAATATGCGAAGGTTGTGCGCCTAAGAGACCATTTACAGAGCGCCAGGCTGTAATGTCTTCATTGTGTCAGCTTGAGCTGCTGGAGCAGGATCGAGCCTCGCTTGCAAATCTGATTCAGAGTATCGGTGTCAAGAACCTGTGTATACTTTTCTGCATGCAGATCGTGAATCCTAGGGGAATGACATCAGGAGCATCGTTGGGCTAAAGTCCTCCTGGCAAAGGCTCCAGTTCTAAGAAGTGACTTAGCCACAGAGCTGGCTTCAAGCACTTTTCTTAGCCGCTCAAGTCGGGCACTGCCAGTCGCTGCATGTGAGCCTCATGTCGCTCCTGAAAGTCTCCCAGCAAATGCCACAGGTGGGTCTGAGAGCTGCGACAAGTCCTGAAAGTCTTGGTGACATGGTGCTCAGCATATCCAGTGCTAATACACTGCGGGTTGATACTGTGATACGATAGAAAATGTATGCGAAACGAAGACATGTTATTAACTGCTAAAGCGATTCAAAGTGTCCAATAGAAGCAAAGCGGAGTGAGGCTGTGGCCAACCCCGATCGGAAGAATCCACATCAACAATCACAATTTGCCCGACCTTAGAGCGTTCTCCTTTAAGACACCACTGCATTGGAGGACTAAGAGATGGATTTGGCCTACAAAGCATAAAATTGTTTGTTTGATGCTCAAAGTTCCCACAGTCACACAGCACGACACACAGATGTCTCAGACTGCTACTGGCTTTGAAGGCCTTCAATGCGACAAATGCCCATATCTGTAAACGTCCACGTCATATCGTCTTCTATGAAATCTCAATGGATCCGACGACAGAAGTTGCCTCCAAATGCGAAAGGACATCGCAAAGTGGGACCTTCGCATCATTCATTTTTCAACAATCCTTCTGAATTATGGTAGAAAGTCTCTTGTGGATATAGAGACATGTAGAGATCACATATACTGCAATGTTCTTTGCTGAGAGCCAAGCACTGGGAAGAATCTCTGTGATTGAAGTGAGCGCGATTCACCTCACAAGATGACGCCACCCACGACAGACAGGTGAAAAACAAGGATTCTTGGACGAACCGAAAGCAGGCTTTGCACAATGAGGTTTCGGCGAAGCAGCTTCCTGAAGGAGTTGGTCATCGGCTCCTGTGGGAGGAGTTCGGAGTTCAAGGGTCCATAGGAATCTATCGGAATCTACCGGACCTATCCAAGCATTCCAAGCATCCTATGCAAGCATTTACATACCAAATCCTGCAGAATCTTGTGTGCAACATTCACAAAAAGGGATCGTTTGTCTTCTCCAATGTTCTAAGGAATGTGTATACTATGTGCTTATTACATTGTGTAATCATGTATATTATATAATATATATATATATGCCGTATATGTAAATAGCATTTCATTGTTGCACCTCTTTCCGTCCTCCATGTTTGGATGGAACTCGAAAGTCACCTCACACCAGCACATACCGGCACCAAGTTGCCCAATCCCATCTGTCAAGAACGCAGCAAAAATTTTAGGCCGAATGCACCAAAGTCACCAAAAATCAGCAATGTGTGCTGGATCCCCACAAGCCCACGGTGCATGAACATGAGGTTGTCTTTGTTCTCTCCCGCTGTCTCGCGCTTTCAAACCGTAAATTTGCCGTTATCATTCTCGTGCAGTAAAATTGTGTGATTTCCCATTTAAGATTGTATTGTAAGTAAGATATAGGAATATAGTCGCGGATTTGTGATTTGCCTTGCGAAGGTCTCTACTGCATGAAGGCTTTATTCGAACGCAGTCTTTGTGCAAACGCTGCATCTTGAGATCTTGTGAAATGCCTGGCTACCTCCGTGGAGGTTGTATTGTATTAGACATGCAACGAAAATTCACACTGGTGGCGTACAGTCACCTTTGCTTGGGGAATAACGTTACACTATTGTCCCCTGAAAGTAGTGAGAACCCCCTGGAAGCGATTGGTCTATCTATGTTGTAATTACATGTCATTACCATATTTTTTCTGAGGCCAGTGGGCTGTGGACCCTTACAATGGTAAAATTGTTACCTCGTGCAAAGATGTGCAATGTAAATATTGAAAATGAATGAAAATGGTAAAGGTCATACAGTACTCTTATCAGACTCTTACCTTGGGCACGATGAAATGGTAAAGCAAATTCTTTCATTGTGGGGTCCGTAAAATGGAAACAGTAAAATCGAATATCTTGCTTTTAACACTTTTTGCCCTGTATACTGTCGAGTTGCATCGAACTCGTACTTTTACTTGCTTATCACTCTGCAATTTTAAGACCTTGCCAATTTTCTTCTGTTCATCTACATCCAGATTTCACTTCTACAGCTACACCTTTGTCAGCACCTGGTAGGGTGTTTGCAAGATACTGAGTGGTTGGTGACCAGGCAACGCGTGGCGCTGACTAAACATTTGAATGCTCGTCCAAGAAGGTTGACAAGGTAGACAAAATGATACAATTATTGTTTAAGAGAAAATAGAGAAAGGAAGATGCAAAATCCCCAAGAGCTAAGTTCAGAACCACAGGTGCAGGTCCTCCGGAAGGCTGCCTAGCTGCGGGGAATTGATAGTCACTTCAAGCGTGCTTAGCGTGCTGAGCAAATTATGTTCGCAAACGCTGCTCTGATGATGTCATTGCACCCTTCACATCTTTGCTTTTCCCTACTCCACACTGAAGATGCTATGTGCGCCTTCGATTCATTGTTGCATCTGCTGCTTAGTGAGAGCAAGACTTTACCAGTCAATAGATCGTCTAGTTTGGTCTAGTTTGATTTCAAGTTCAAGGATGGTGCGCTCAAGGAGAAGATGGCTTGCATTGTCTTTGAAGAACCCAATGTGCGGGGAAACAACCAGTGGGAAAGGATTTCATCTTCAAGTATGTGTGTGTGTGAATCGGCTTTAGCTCTGACATTCGGTGCGTCTGGCCCCGTGTTGTCTGTGCGTCTGCGACGTCTGTGTGCTTGTGTCTTTGCATCTTGGCATGTTTGCATCTGTGCATTTTGTCAATGTCGTGCAGGGATGTGCAGGGAAGCAGAGCACAATCATCACAATCAATGAAATGATGAAATGCGCATGTTGCATTTGTCCTTCACAAATGCAGGGCCTGATTGGGCCTGATTGCATGACACTTCAGTGCACCGAGGTATCAGGGTCTCATTACCCTCCTGCCTTCCCGTTTGATTTGAGGGGTTCAAATCCTTAGCAGCACAGTCCTACATAGTCCTACTAGGTCCTACTATGTTTGCTGAAAGCATTCTGATGATTCCTTTCAGGACACTGTCAGTAATGAGCTTGGGAAGCAACAAGCAAATCTCGGTGTTGATCTGCATGAGTTTCAAACATCTGCATCTGTACCTAGAAGATATTTGAGCGGTGTGTGGAACATGACGAAAATGGATGAACCATGTTGTGTAGGGCAAGCTCTTCACTTCAAAGCTGTCTGTCAGTCAAGATCTGCCATGCACCAGCAAACCAATTTCCCTGCAGAACATCACCACTTTTCAAGAAGAATCAAATCAAACTTTTCAAACGATCAAACGTCAAATACACTGAATTGGCTCAGTTGGCTCAGTCCATTTTCACAAAGCCCCATGGCCTGTGCAACGGGAGCCTGCGGTGCAATCACAACATACCCTCTCTATATCTCACAGATTCTCACAGTGTCTCACGACTAAACTGAGGTTTAAGGTTCGCTGAATGTTCGCTGATTCGGTGTATTTCTTTCATGAGGATTGAAAAACCACTCAACATACTCAACCAGGCAGCTGCTGGAGTATTTATTGACTCACCCAGCGGGATTGAATGGGTTGAGTCGGGCTTAGGTTCTGTGAGTTCAACCGGTGTGCAAAGCTGAAGTGGAACTTAGAATTTTGCGCATGCATTTCTCCTTCCTTGTACCATTCGAGACTTTCGCTGCCAAGCGATCGACAAAGGATGCCTTGTTGTCGTACGAAGCAGTGCCACAGACAAAGACGCCGAACACCTCTGTTGCCTCCGGCCGAATTGAATGGCATTGCAGAACTATCAGAACGCAAAGGTGAAAATGGTGAAGATTCAAAACTGCGTCACAGAAGTATGGGAGTTGGCGCTGGGACAGACTGTTGCATGGTATTCGCATCTTTCAGATTCTTTTAGCACCCTTTGGTAGCTGTTGGTCGTTGTACGTCGGCTTCTTAATTTACTGTAAGATACTGTAAGCTATCAAGTTTTTGATAGTGTGCTTGGATCTGATAAAGGAATATAAAGGAATCAAGACTCTGCTTACTCTGCTTACTCTCAAGACTGAAGCCATCTGAAGCCTCTCCAGCAACGCAGGCGTCAATCTTGGGTTTCAAGACCTGAAAGATCCGCAAGTCCTGGACAGACTGGACAGATTCCAAAGCGGAAAGGCACGCGGAGTCGTCATGTCATCAGCCTGTCGGTTCATTAGCCAATTAGCATCAATTAGCCATGGTCAGGTAATGTCAGGTAATGTCAGGTAATGTCAGGGGATACAAATGAAATCAAATGAAATCAAATGAAATCAAGTGAATATAGTAGTACCTTACCTATTGATACCTTGAAGGTACTGTGAATATCTGTGAATCATTGTTCTATTGGAAAAGCTCCTGGGGCATCCTGGGGCCCTGTGCACATTTTTCTATACGTATTTGCTAACAAGCTGCCTCGTGACCAACAATGTGTTCGAAGTCCATGATCCGCGGCGAACAAATGTTGCACCTCCAACACGCCAGTCCAGGTCTGGTTTTACTTGGGACTTGGAGCTGCAGAAGATTGCAGAAGTCACAAGTTTTGACCATCCTGCACCTCTTCTGAAGAGAATCCGGCATGCATCCTGCAAGCCAACATTTCACAGAACCACAGGTCAAATCGCTAGCGCAGTATATCGCAGTAGTGTTCTGCACATCTCACAGCTGACGTTATCCAAAGCAGGATCACACTTCTCTTAGCAGCGACGCCTGTACTCATCCGTCGTCGGCTTTGAGCCTAGGCAGCGAGCTTGGACATACAGTTGGACATACAAGAATTATTCGAATCATTCAAGAACTCTAGGAGAAATAACTCTGACCATCTACGTATCTCTGGCCATTGGTGTCACATGTCCCTGCGTGTCCCGCAGCACCTTCTCCCCATCTTGGTGAGGCTGAACCTTGGCACAGGGGTGTTTGGATTTGTCCAAAACGACTATACACAGAATGACGTACAACTGACGTATGTACGATTGTACAATGCAAAATCAATCTGAGACAAACACTTGCAATTCTCGTGGGCCGAGAACTTGCATCCAATTTGAGTTCTCCTTGTTTGAAAAAAATTGACAAATATGTGGAAAAATAACAGGGAGGTTGGAGCTTGTGAAGCTGAAAAAGATCTGACTTTGCTGTGTGACTTGTCCTTTTCTGGCTCGCAAAATGATTTGACCTGAACAGCACCATGCGGCCCTCTTCTCCAAGCTCTGTCTGAAGTTTAGAAGTGCGATTTTTCGCAAAGAAGTCTAAGATGTTGAATGAAGTTTTGTGCAGATGTTTTGTAAATTGCTTAAGTTCCCCAAACATGGTGCAGTTCTCAGGTTCCAACGATTGCGATTCTTCGCAGCTTACCCTTTAGCTTACTTGCTGCCTCACAATATTGAACATGCCAAGACACTACCCTCTGGTAATTTAACATAGCTATTGAAAATGGCCATTTATAGTGGATTTTCCAATTAAAAAGGGTGATTTTCCATAGCTACGTTAAATTGCCAGAGGGTATAGGACACAACAGGATACTTAATGAGGGAACAAAATGCGAGTGTTCCCCCGCCCAGATGTTCCTCCCGGCAACGTGACATCTCTTCTTCCGCATGGTTTGCCTCAGTGTGCATGACTGAGAAAAAGGTGCGACAACGGTGTTGCATCAAATGATGTGAAAGCCAATCTGCGTTTCTGTCACCTAAAAGAGTTTGGCATGTATTTACCTACCATAGAAGCAACTTTCTTGGCTCCATGCAAGTGCTCGGGCCAATTGAACGGCCTTCAGAGCCTTGAATTGTCTCACTGTCAGGGAATGATTTGCACCGTCCTCCTCCTTCTCCTCCTCCTCATCATCCCGCATCAAGAAGAAGATGTGCTGAGAGTTGGTGGAAAAGTTTGAATCAAACATTTATATAATATACAGTGTACATATATAATAAATATATAAACCTGAGAAGGAGGGAACGAAAGCCAACATCCCATGTATCCCTATGTTCCCCAATATTTGTCACCCAGAGACTCTTCACCCAGAAACCCTTCTTGCACATACTTTTCACCCAGAGACTCTTCACCCAGAAACTCTTATTGCACAGACTTTTCACCCAGAAACTCTTCTTGCACATACTTTTCACCCGTATACTTTTCACCCAGAGACTCTTCACCCAGAAACTCTTCTTGCACATACTTTTCACCCATATACTTTCACCCCGAGACTCTTCACCCAGAAACCCTTCTTGCGCATACTTTTCACCCATATACTCTTCACCCAGAACCTATTCTTGCACATACTTTTCACCCGTATACTTTTTACCCAGAGACTCTTCACCCAGAAACTCTTCTTGCACATACTGTTCACCCATATACTTTTAACCGAGACTCTTCACCCAAAAACTCTTATTACACATACTTTTCACCCGTATACTTTGCACCCACAGACTCTTCCCCCAGAAACCATTCTTGCACCTATATACTTTTCACCCAGAAAATCTTCTTGCACATACTTTTCACCCATATACTTTTCACCCAGAGACTCTTCACCCAGAGACTCTTCACCCAGAAACTCTTCTTGCATAGATTTTTCACCCAGAGACTCTTTACCCAGAAACTCTTCTTGCACATACGTTTCACCCATATACTTTTCACCCAGAAACTCTTCTTGCACATACTTTTCTCCCAGAAACTCTTCTTGCACATGTTTTTCACCCATATACTTTTAACCCAGAGACTCTTCACCCAGAAACTCTTCTTGCACATACTTTTCACCCATATACTTTTTACCCAGAGACTCTTTACCCAGAAACTCTTCTTGCACATACTTTTCACCCATATACTTTTCACCCAGAGACTCTTCACCCAGAAACTCTTATTACACATACTTTTCACCCAGATACTTTTCACCCAGAGACTCTTCACCCAGAAACTCTTCTTGCACAGGCTTTTCACCCATATACTTTTCACCCAGAGACTCTTCACCCAGAAACTCTTCCTGCACATACTTTTCACCCATATACTTTTCACCCAGAGACTCTTCACCCAGAAACTCTTCTTGCACATACTTTGCACCCAGAAACTCTTCTTGCACATGCTTTTCACCCATATACTTTTCACACAGAGACTCTTCACCCAGAAACTCTTTATGCACATACCTTTCACCCATATACTTTTCACCCAGAGACTCTTCACCCAGAAACTCTTCTTGCACATACTGTTCACCCATATACTTTTCACCCAGAGACTCTTCACCCAGAAACTCTTATTGCACAGACTTTTCAACCAGAAACTCTTCTTGCACATACTTTCCACCCATATACTTTTCACCCAGAGACTCTTCACCCAGAAACTCTTCTTATAAATACTTTTCACCCACATATTTTCACTCATAGACTCTTCACCCAGAAACTCTTCGTGCACATACTTTTCACTCATATACTTTTCACCCAGAAACTCTTCATCCAGAAACACTTCTTGCACATACTTTTACTTTTCACCCAGAGACTCTTCACCCAGAAACTCTTCTTGCACAGACATTTCACCCATATACTCTTCACCCAGAGACTCTTCACCCGGAAACTCTTCTTGCACAGACATTTCACCCAGATACATTTCACCCAGAGACTCTTCTTGCACATACTTTTCAACCATATACTTTTCACCCATAGACTCTTCACCAAGAAACTCTTCTTGCACAGACATTTCACTCATATACTCTTCACCCAGAGACTCTTCACCCGGAAACTCTTCTTGCACAGACATTTCACCCAGATACTCTTCACCCAGAACCTATTCTTGCACATACTTTTCACCCATATACTTTTCACCCAGAGACTCTTCACCCAGAAACTCTTCCTGCACATACTTTTCACCCATAAACTTTTCACCCACAGACTCTTCACCCAGAAACTCTTCTTGCACATACTTTTCACCCACATACTTTTCACATCTTTTCACCCAGTGGCTCTTCACCCAGAAACTCTTCTTGCACATACTTTTCACCCTTTTCATCCAGAGACTCTTCACCCAGAAACTCTTCTTGCACAAACATTTCACCCATATACTCTTCACCCAGAGACTCTTCACCCAGAAACTCTTCTTGCACAGACATTTCACCCAGAGACTCTTCACCCAGAGCCTCTTCTTGCACATACTTTTCACCCATATACTTTTTACCTAGAGACTCTTCACCCAGAAACTCTTCTTGCACATACTTTTCACCCATATACTTTTCACCCAGAGACTCTTCACCCAGAAACTCTTATTACACATACTTTTCACCCATATACTTTTCACCCCGAGACTCTTCAACCAGAAACTCTTCTTGCACATATTCACCCCGCTTCGCGTGGGGTGGCCGCCCACACCGCAGGTTTATTTCGGTCCGTGAGAGGGGCTAAGGGTGCTGTGGAATATGAGGAGCAGATTCACTTTTCCCCCCCGTGGAGGCTTCCCAAGCTAGGGAATTTTCGCTTTTCCCCCCCGTGGGGGCTTCCCAAGCGACGGAATTTTCACTTTTCCCCTGTGAAGCTTCCCAAGCTAAGAATTTTCACTTTCCCCCCCCGTGGGGTTTTCCCCCCCGTGGGGGCTTCCCAAGCTAGGGAATTTTCGCTTTTCCCCTCCGTGGGGGCTTTCCAAGCGACGGAATTTTCACTTTTCCCCCGTGAAGCTTCCCAAGCTAAGAATTTTCACTTTCCCCCCCCGTGGGGGCTCCCCAAGCTAGGGAATTTTTATTTCCCCCCCCGTGGGGGCTTCCCAAGCTAGGGAATTTTCACTTTTCCCCGCCGTGACAGCTTCCCAAGCTATGGAATTTTCACTTTTCCCTCCCTTGGAGGCTCTCCAAGCTGCGGAATTTCAAATAGCTAGACAACGACGCCTAGATAGTCCCCCAAATCCCGTGTTCTTTGAATGCGTTTCCATGTTTTTGCAATGGTTTCCTTCAAAGCACGGTACGTTACACTTTTGTCGCCATAAAACCGGTCGAAAACATCATGTTCGACAATGCTTCCAATTCCCTTATCTCCCCAACCGTTGAAAATACCGCTATTTACAGTGTTTTCTTCATTTTTTCCATGTTCCAATGCCGGTAGCCAACTCCAACATATATATATATATAAGAAATCCTTCCAAGACATTGTTTTTGACAGTGTTTTTCCAATGTTTCCAGTCAAACAGACGGTAATTTACACGTTTTTTGCCATAAAGGCAGTAAATCCTTCCAAAACATTGCTTTTGACAGTGTTTTGTAATGTTTCCAGTCAAGCATATGGTAATTTACGCGTTTTGCTATAACGTCAGTCCAAAACACTTGTTTTTGCAGTGTTTTCAATGCTCTGGCATCCAAAAACCCTGCAAAATCTTGCTATGTACAATGTTTTTTTCATTTTTGGCCGTTTTTCCATTGCCGGAAAGCTACCAAAATGACCCAAAGTTCCATTTCAATACCCTCTTGCGCTCAGACACCCAAAAATCCTCGAAAAATGTCGAAAACACCACCGAATTCTGGTCTCCGTGCGAAACCGTTTTTGGGCCCCCCCCCCAGCTAAAGCTGATATAGCGACTGCTATATTAACAAATGTGATTGAACATTTAGTGTAGCTGTTTCCCCCCAATAAGCACGCCTTCACCGCCAAAGCGGTGTGGGCGGATTTTTCATACATATACTTTTCACCCAGAGACTCTTCACCCAGAAACTCTTCTTGCACATACTTTTCACCCATATACTTTTCACTCATATACGTTTCACCCAGAGACTCTTCACCCAGAAACTCTTCTTGCACAAACTTTTAACCCAGAAACTCTTCACCCAGAAACTCTTCTTGCACATACTTTTCACACAAATAGTTTTTACTCAGAGACTCTTCACCCAGAAACTCTTCTTGCACATACTTTTCACTCGTATACTTTTCACCCAGAGACCCTTCACCCAGAAACTCTTCTTGCACATACTTTTCACCCATATACTTTTCACCCAGAGACTCTTCACCCAGAAACTCTTCTTGCACGGACTTTTCACCCAGAGACTCTTCACCCAGAAACTCTTCTTGCACATACTTTTCACCCAGAGACTCTTCACCGAGAAACTCTTCGTGCACATACTTTTTACCAATATACTTTTCACCCAGAGACTCTTCACCCAGAAACTCTTCTTGCACATACTTTTCACCCATATACTTTTCACCCAGAGACTCTTCACCCAGAAACTCTTGTTACACATACTTTTCACCCAGATACTTTTCACCCCGAGACTCTTCAACCAGAAACTCTTCTTGCACAGACTTTTCATCCATATACTTTTCACCCAGAGACTCTTCACCCAGAAACTCTTCTTGCACATACTTTTCACCCAATTTCCTTCTCTCTCCAATCTTCTCTAACTAGCTGGCCCATCTATCTGTCCATTGTCCATTGACTGAGCCCACAAAACCCCAGAAAACCGGACCTAGGGGGAATCGATACCCACCGTCACTGTTTTGCCGCCTGGTACATTACCCTGCAAAACCATACTAGCGGCCGCCGGTTTTTACCACCTATTTTCCCGATTGATGACCCGTTTGGCAACTACCCCCCCCAGACCCCCTATTCTCACTTCGTTCGCAAATAGCAACTAGCCAGCTTCCCGGCTGGCTTTCGTAAAAAACAATGTGAGTGGCCTGCAGGGCCTGCGTGGTGCCCATCCGGGTGAACTTGGAGTTGGTGCCAACGTCCCGCTCCAGGCTGCAAGAGGGCACTGAGGTCATTTCAAACACAACTCAAAACAAATCCTGCCCCCGATGTCTTGCGGTGCGGGCTACACATAGCCACCACAGATCGGGCCTCACCCACGTTCTTGAAGGAAACCTGAAGGACAGTTTGGCTGCAGTGCTGCGAAGCAGATTTGGGAAGAATTACGTTTAAATAGCAGGTCCCGTGACCCATTCACCGCAAGGGTTATCGTAGTCCCATCCCATCCTTTGTTTGCAACTGTTTGCACCCCACCTTGCTCTCCATCAAAGCCACATCGCATGTACGGTTCAACTCGGGCCTCATGCAATCGATGAAACATCTGCTTCTGCCGTGCGAACTTTCGAGGTGAGCAGTGTCAAGGCTGGGACTCCCTCAGGACCCCTTGCGCCGCTTCCAACGTGATCAAGCCCGTTTCTAGAAAAGCCTTGGCAACAGATTTGCTGCACAGACATGAGGATGACAATGGTGATGCTTATTCAGCCTACTCTTCTTTAAATGAGCCGTCTGTTCCAATCCAGATGCTTGCTTCAACTCAATCGGCTGGGCGAGGGTGAAAATAAAAAGCACTTGGCACAGAGAATCGCTCGCAGCTGCCCAGCAATTTCATGCAGAATCTTCCTGTTTCTTTTGGCATTTTGGAGGTGCCAAGAACGATCTGCAAGGCATTTCGTTCTTTTTTTCCTCCCTCAGGGCATAAATCAAGTCATTCATTCGGCATTTAATTGCATCACATTGCATCACATAACATTGAATAATTAGAAGGGCATGGCATTGAACTGCATGGATTGATGCATGTCTTCGCATCTCCCGGAATCTCAGGCATATTAAATTAATTACATTTAAATATCATATGAAGCTGTAGGTCTCTGCAGTGACTTCTACCGTCTCACCTTGCTTCAAGGCTTCCATGCGAGGCTCCAGCTCCTCCCAAAGCCTTATGGCCAAGGCCTCCACACTGTCAGGTCGCAGGGCTTGGAAGGTGCTCAATACAAAGGGCAATAGCAGGGCAGCACGGCTCAACCATGGACACTGGCATTTGAAACCTAAGCTGCTTGGAGCTGCTTGGCCGAGTTAATTTTGATGTCGATTGGGTAAGGTTAACTCTGCTGACTTTGATCGGGTCGGTGGGGTTTGGTTCGGTCCGTTTGGTTCGGAGTTTGATGATTTTTTTCCAGCTTAGTTTGTCCAGTCTGAAAAGAGGAAAACCATGGAAAACCCAAAAGTGCAAGCCGAAAATCGAAAATCAGCCAAGAATCTCAGTGCTGCCAGTCCCAAGCAAACAAAGCAGAAACACTGGAGTGTGTTGACCTGCTGCTGGAGATAGGGCTGCACCATGAGACTCGTGGCTGCCATGGTCAAAGCAATGCCCAAAGAGAACTGCAAGGCATCAGCGCTGTTGACAACCGACACCAGGGCCACTGCTACCAATTTCTGCGCTATCTCCATCCATAGATTTTGGCAAAACCTGTATTTGAGAAGCAACTGCTTTCCACCCAACAGAACTCTGTCACTCTGAATGATGTCTTGAAGGACCACTCGCTCTGTGAGCATCTTTGCAAGAGATTGACACCTCAGGGTCTTGGCATGCTCCTGTGCATCTTCTGGCCCGAGCACCGCTAGCAAGTCGGCATTCAAATCCATATTGGACTGGCTGCCGACCGAGACCGGTTTCACGACCGCAGCCCCATCCGCCAACTGGAAGCCAACTCGGCCGCGCAGGTGTACAGCTGTGTGAGCTGCAGCCGATGCAACCAAGCATCGAGAGAATTCATCCTCCTTAGCTGAACTCTTGACAGTTTCAGACTGGAGAAGTTTTTGCATGTAAACTCTGAGATTGCCCTTGCATGAGGCATATGATACCGTCACCTTGCTCGATCTCAGCATTGTGCGCTGCCTTGCATAGACATAAAGCAAGCAAACTGGGATCACGATGCCGTAACAAACAGCCGCGATGTAGCCCACTGCATCAACCACGGTCTTGACTGGGGAGCTGCTTTCGCACAAAATGTATGGGATTGACTTTCGAAAGACAAACTCTTTGGGTAAAGTCTCTCCAGCTCCATCCAAATCTTGGCAACTCAAAAGATCTGCGCAGCTCGATGCTCCACCAACGTAGAGAAGGGTTAACGCCTGAAGCGCAGCCGCAATACCAGCCCCACGGTTGACGACTTCCAGGATGAGGCAACACACCAGGACTAGCAATGGGAAGACTGGAGCGGCCAAAGCAAATGCCAAGCGCACAGTGGCCCCATCAAATTTGCATTGGAGGTTCACTGCGCCTTTCAAATTGGACACTGAAAGTTGCACAACCTTGACATAAGGCAATTCCCAAAGGATGAAAGATTTCGAGGTGTGGTTTGTTGGTGTGTTGGTGGCATTGGCGACATCCGTGAGTTTGCCACCCTCGAAAGTGTTGGTATAGTCACTTTGGGAGGTGGCTAAAACTGCTAGCACGGACCACAATTGGACCATTTGTAACAACAATGGTGCTTGGGCTTTCAGCTGCATCTTCAAAGCAGTCAGGACCTTCGAACCACCAGAAGTCAGCATCTCAGACTGGGCAGTCGCAGCATTGCTGGGCCGCGTCCAACAAAGGCCCGCGATCAACGCCAACACCAACATCATGACCGCTGCCACAGCAGCCAACACCAGTCCTGAATCCTGCCGAAGGCTCTGAAATGATTGAATCGCTGAGGTTTCCGTGCATTGTTCACAAAGCCCTCCACTAGCATAAAAGCCAGGACCACATTCCATGCAAAGTTGCCCTGCGTAGCCATCATGGCAATGAGAAGCCTTGAGGTTCGAAGCTATGCATCTTGTGTTTGGAGACAAGCACTCGAAGGCACGCGCCCGATTGCCCAGTCGGAGGTACCCTGCCAGCGGTTGCGCTGAGACAGCCTCAGTTCCTGGGGAAGAGCAATTGAGGTGCAGGCGCTCACACTTCATGCAACTGTCTTCGAGCAACACATGCTGGGCTGGGCAGCCACACTTCCAAGTGCCAGTCATGTTGAAGAGATCTCCAAGTTTACATTTGCATTCTTGACGAGTGATGGAACCTTCAGGCGCCTCGCTCCCTGCTGGACACTTCTGGCACTCGCCATCATAGTCCTCCTTGAAGGAATTTGCAGGACATGCGCGGCAGCTGATGCCCAGTCCTGTCCAGCCAGGAGAGCAACTGCACAGCTCATGGGGCGCAAACTTCTGCGGCGAGATTTGAAGCTGAGGGTTGGCGATGTCAAAGCATGCGTATCCAAGCGTTCGGTCGACCATAGTTCTGTGCCTAGTCTTCTGTACCACTTTCTGAGCTGCAAGTTCTGCAAGGAGCGTGGCTCCTTCTGCATTGGCCAATGTAAGATCCCGAAGGTCGAGGAAAACACTCTCAGCCACTGCCTTCTGCAAAACTCCAGGCGCAAAGCTGATTCCCTCGTTGCCGAACACAGAAAATGTATCGCACCGAGGTGGGATGGCCTCCACTCTGGAGAGACGGTTGGAGGACAGGTCCAAGGACATCAAAGCGTTTGCCAAAGGCCAGGCCGCAATGTCTGGCAAGGTGCCGGTCAGCTTGCACCCCCTGACTTTCAGAGTTGTTAGAGAAGAGCAGAGCTGTAGAGACTCTAGCAAGCCAGCCGTGGAGGTGTTCTCCACGCGTGTTCCACTAAGATCCAAGAAGACCAGACTGCTGCAAAAGTTGATACTATCGAAAAGGCCTGAAAGGATGATGCTCGTATTGGTATCAGCCACATTCAGAGATTTAAACCATGTGGGGAAGAAATTGCCAGGCTTCCAGGAGTACTCTAAATAATCGCAATTGAGTTGGCCAGTGACTCGGGTTTTGGAGACATCCACATCAAAAAGGGACGGAAGCATTCTGAGTAGATCAATGTCTCCTGTAACTTCTGTGCCAAACAAATCTAATCTTTCAAGATCTTTGGCATTCTTCAAGGTTTGTAAGTCTCCGCTAACTTTGGTGCCTTTCAAAATCAGGACTTGCAATTTCTCCAGTTGCTGAATCTTGTTGCCCAAGCGTCCACTGAGATCACTGCGACCACCGAGGTTGATCTCAACAAGGTCACAATCGTTCCTTTGACTGAACTTGAGAATTTTAGTGGCATGCAAGTCCAAGTTCTTCAGCTCGGGATCTTTGAGCCCCAGCTCTCCAAGGGCGGCTCGTACGTCGAAGTCCTCCAAACACGCGCCTTTGATCTTCGTTCCTCCGACAAAGAACCTTTCCAGGCGTGGAGGGTGGCGCAAGCTTTCCAGCTCTCCGGACGTATTGGTGTGGGATAGGTCGAAAAACTCCAAGTTCCTCAAAACTCCAAAAGCATTCAGGTTGCCATGCACTCTCGTCCTATCAAGCCAAAGGTCCTGCAACCTGGTGCAGTTTTGCAAACCCAGCAAATCTCCACCAACCTTGGTCCGTCCAAGGCTGAGCAGTTCCAAGCTAGTGCAATTTTGCAAACTGGTCAAATTTCCTTCGATCTGGGACCCATAAAGCCGAAGCTCTCGCAAAAAGTTGCAGTTTCGCAAGCTCAGCAGATCTCCTTCAACCTTCTTGGTGTCTGCAATCTCCAGGATTTCCAAGCTAGTGCAATTTTGCAGGCTGATCAAACTTCCTTCGATCCCGGAGAGGCGAAGTTCTTTCAACTTCCTGCAGTTGCGCAAGCTGTGGAGATTTCCTCGGATTGGGGGGACTTCCAACTTGAGGACCTCCAGATCAGGGAGCCCCAAGAAACTGTCAGACAATGCTCCCAAAGGATCATCCCGTTCGTCCAGTCGGATCTCAGTCACACTGCAACCACTCCAAGTAACACAACCCTGATTCAAGTGAACCTGATCCACAAATTCTCCACACTTCAACTCCCGAAAATCAGAAATAGATGTGACCCCAAGGTCCCGGAGAGCAGCTAGCAATGCCTCCTCTTGCTGACAGCCAGCCCCCGGAAGCTGAGCAGCTCCTGAAGCTGTTGCGGCCGAAGGTGTGATTTCTGAGATCTCACCCAAATCCTCGTCAGCTGCCAGAGATACCCGGAGACGAGATGGCCGCTCTGCCAAAGTCTTCTGACTGAAGACGACGATCAGGCCGTACAGCACAGCTGCCAGCATCAAATGAAATCCATATGAAACAAAGGAGTTCTCGATCAAAGCCTCAAGGTCAAGGGCCAAGCCAGTGACCAAACTGTCCCCATGCGAGGTGAAATGGGATGTTCTGAAGCAAGCATACGGCTGCGCAGGTGAAGCAAGTGCAAAACAACCATGGGCCAAACGCAAACCATGCTTCATGTAAGCCAAGTGCCTGCATTGCCTTCCATCCCGTGATTTTCCAAATGAGTTGCAAGCAGAACAAGCATGTAAAAACTGACTCCTCGGCTTTCCATAGCCTTGGCCGCAGCAGGAATCTCATGTTCATACGAGTGAGCAGCACCTATACAAGTCTGGTAAAGACAAGCATCCACTTCGACCCAGAAAACCCCAAGCCTTCACGTCCATGTAAAGATCCATAAAGATCCTCAACTGTACTGGCCTGGAAAGAACGAAGCTGGTGCAGGTGAGTTTGAACGAGTTGAGGCCCGTCAAACACTTGAGAAACAAGGGGCTTATCTTATCCCTTGCGTTAGCGGCAGTGGCTGGTGATGGGTCATCACAGCTCCCCCTGAATACAACCCCAAGCGATGGTTTAACTGATGATTGCATCTCAAAGCACTTGGACCAAAAAAACAGAAATCACGGAGCTATTATCTCAGACTATCCCAACAAATCATTGCAAATGTTAACCAGGGATGACCACCGCCCTGCTCTGCTCTTCCCCCGTCAAAGACTATGTTGAGATGATCCAAGAACCATGCTCCGACCGACCGTTGCTGTAGCAAGTTTGCCACCTTCTCCATCCCCAGAGCATCCAGGTATGCCTGGGGCACAGTCTGGGAGTGTTCAGGAGCTGGGAGCGACCCCCCCCAGTACGCAAAATTTGCAGAGGGGCACCAGCTGGGAGAGTTTCTTGGAATTGAAACTTCAGGGCCACATCCCTACAAACAAGTGAAACAAAGAGAAAAGACAAACGAATCAAAAGCAGTTTGAGGACCTCCGAAATACATTTAAGCTACTAGAGCTAAACGGCACTAGCAATATCCGGAAATGTATCAGGCATTGCATGTTACAAGTGAGTGATCACGAGCCCATCTGTTTTGCATCAAAGCCCTTTGTTTCTCCCGCTGTGGGAAGTCTGCCACCACGAGACATGAGTTCCCCACGGCTCCAGCGTGATCCTGGGCGTTGAGATTGACCGCTGTTGAATGCTTGGTGGGAAAATCTGAAATTACTGAAGCATGCTGAAGCCAAGCTGAAGGTCTGAACTGCCTCCAAGATGAGCATGTCTGAGTTGTTCAGGTCCTTCAAGTACTGTCCTCTTGAGCATCAGCCGCTGCTCCACCCCAGCAATTCGACCTTGGGATGACGTGTGGGCGGGATGGCACACTTGACGATCACTGGGCAAAGTGTCCCGCAGGTCCCAAAGCTGTCCATATCTGAAGACATTGCGCTTGTAAGATTCTTGCTAGAAACTCGGTGCAGCTGCTGGATGCTTCCTACACTAAGATGCATCTGAGCTGCAACATGCTAGCAGCCAACCACCGATGCTTCGGTGCGGAATCGCGATGCAGGACAATGGTTGAGCAAAGGAGGGGGACATCTCCAAACAATTCAACGGCCCTTTGGTAAATGGGAATCCTTGCGCCCCAGGGCAATTCTGAATGCACTATGGCATTGCCCTTCAGAGAGATTTCTGTCTTGCAGCGCGTGGACCCAGGTCTGCAATATCTGCTTCACTGGAGCCATAGAGCGTCAGCTGGTCAGCTCCAAAGACATTGAAAAGCCACTGGGGTGGCACTCATTGCAGAAGAATTCAGAAACGATGTAGCTAGTTCAGCAAATGGCTTCAATGGTTTCTACCGAATGATGCACACCAAAAATGGCTCCCAACAAGATCACATCAAGTCTTGTCACCTGCTGGACACGTCTTTCTTCACAAAAACAAAGTAGGCTTTCGGCTGAGCTCAAAGGCTTCACCCAAGCATTGCTAAACACCTTACCTTTGGCTCCATTAGGCCACTAAGCAGCTTTAAACACTTTGGAGGCTTTCGACACATCTGCGTGTGTGAGTCCAAAGCCTTTTGGAAAAATTATGGCACGTAGCACACGTAGCAACCCACCCGCTTGTTCTGGTCCTATCCTTATCAGATTTGGAAGGGTTCAACCAAGTTCAAACTTCTACACTTCTGCTTCCAACGTCACCCACTCGGCGTGTGCGTAGAGATTCAAGGAATTCCGCCTGGCTCAGAATGCATCTGCAGCTTCTCAAGCTATGGATGAAGGCATTGAAATCTTTGGATCCTTTGCTCAGCACATCTGCATTTCCGACGCAAATGAGGCCATACTTAGCTCGGGTGATGGCCACATTCAACACCCGGTAGTTCTTCAGGATGCCCAAGCTTTCTCCATACATCTCCTCCATCCACAGTGGCGTCCGAACTCTTGTCAAAGCTCAACAAAGCAGGATGCCCGGAAGCAACGAATTGCAAGCTTGGGGAAACAAAATTACCAACTGGCAACCTCCTCATTCTTCATTAGGCCATTAGGTCTGTGAAAAAGCAAACCAGGGGTCAAAAAGAACTAGACAAACAATGAGCTATTCTGTTGAGTATTTTGAGATCACAGACCTTTTACAACCAGTTGTCGCAACCTGCTCCCTTTCAAAGAACCCCAACTGCCCTCCTGCAGCGCCACGGAGTCTCCAGCCGTCTTTGCCACGGAGGTGACCACGTCTTCATCCTGCGACGTGCTGCGGACGAAGCTCACGATGATGTATTCGCGCTCTGAGCCCTGCGCACTGCAGGGGGGCCGTCGACACCACGAGATAAGTGAAAGGAAACACCCTTGGTGCAATATATTGGCAAATATAGGCATAGGAAATGAAATGCAGCCATGAAACATGGCAAGGCATCCGGCTTTTGCCTATCCTTGCGCCAGCCAAAAATGACAAGGACTAAGCATGAGAAGTGGCCTGTAGAGCATGCACGGTGCCCACCAAGATGGATTTCGAATGGGTGCCAACGTCCCGCTCCAACCTGCAACAGGGCACTGGGTCCCGACTTTTCAAAAGTTCTGTTCCTCACACATAAGGCGCAATTTGACTTAATGTGACTTTGATTGGTCTTGCCCGTGTCCTACCAGAATGCATGAAATCGTTTCTGACGCAAGGGAAACGAAGAGTGAAAAGTCAAACCTGTATTAGGAAAAGTGTCATTTTGGGTTGATGCAATGCAAATAAGCAAAGCGCAACTCAAAAATACCCTGCCTGGCACGAATCTCATGTTGCTGGGCTTTGTATGGAGTGATCACTGCGATGTCACGTGGTGCACATCTCTGTCGCAGCAGGGCTGCACAGGCAGCCACTACAGATCGAGCCTCTCCCACGTTCTTCAAGGAAACCTGAAGAGCATTCTCGCTGCAGTGTGGCGCAGCAGATTTGAGAAGACATCTGATAAATGACCATGAATCCATGAAGGTTCCCATCCACCATGACACCTTACCACCTCTCCTTTGGCATGCAACCCCCACCTTGCTCTCCATCAAAGCCGCATCACACGTACGGTTCAACTCGGGCGAGAGGCCCATGGACTGCGGCGTCCGGCAATCGATGAAGCACCGATGCTCCTGCGAAATTTTGAAGCAGTGTCAAGGCCAGGACTCCCAAAGCCTCTGAAACATGATGACATCAGAGAGCAGGGTGGGATCTCAATCCTCCAGTGCTCTGATACGTTATTGTGTTCTGGAGATAGCCGTTTACGCTGTGGTGGGGTGCCTACTCTCATCAATTAAAACGACTTTGAGACGCCCTTGGCATCACTGGCTCCTTCTTCTGTGGCCAGATGCAGTTCAGTTGCGGCCGATGCGGGATCGACACCTGGTCCTCCAGCATGGACTCGTAGAACTGCGCCGATGGAAAGCTCCGAATGGACGGATGCATGCGGTACCTGGGCGGTTCGAGCTTAGCTGCTTGGCTTGCCATTGCAGTCATGGAAAGCAACAGAGTCCCTTCAAAAGTGCCCTGCTTTGGACATGCTTTGGACATGCTTTGGACATGCCTTCCTTCTTCCGTCGATCTTTCTGTCTCCGAAAGTCTTTGAAAGTTTCCGAGACAGTGGGCCCCAATTGTCTTCAGTCTTCCCTCCTTCAATTGTTTCTTGATCAGCAGCAAGTTGCTGCATGTTCAGCATGGTGCTCGTCGACGAGCGCCGAGGATTTTGGTACATCCTCTCTAGAAATGGTGTCTCCAACGCACTCACATAAGGTGCGCAGAGGTTGTTCTCCGTCACGACAGGACCTGCCAGTGGTGGTGCAATGTCACGGCTGGTAAATGGATTGGTGAAAAACATCAAAGTGACAGCACCTGTCCTCCACCTTACAGAAACGCAAAGTCATGATGTGATGAAAAATGGCATGAGAACATTGAGAACTACTGGGTTCATCCTCATTCTGATTAAAGTGTATAGATAGAATCAGAGAGTCTCGGTTCGCTCTCACCAGAAATGTCACCCGAGCCATCGGCCTAGCTGTTTGTGATCGCCCACCACGATGACGCGGCAGCTGGCCGATGTGGCCGCCAGCACGACATCCGGCTCGCTGGCCTGTGCCGCCTCGTCGATGACGATGCTGTCGAAGCTCACCGGGCGGAGAACGTGGGGCGGCTCGCCCTGCAGCACAGACGTGTGAAGATATGCCTCGGAGAACAAGCCCACTGCGGTCAATTGGCCCTCAAACATCATGCATGGTGGCAGTTTAAAGGAATGGTATTCTGCATGGCAGTGAAAGGATGCTATGCCCAACTCCCCCAAATTTTTCCAATCCACATCTTGAGCTTAGAAGCGGTCGCACATGTCGTTATAACGATTCTGCTGTCACGAAGGACGTGAACCTCCTCGACCTCATAGGACTTGTCGAAGTCTTCCTGACTCTGCGAGGGAAGAGACTTCACCTGAGCCATGTTCGCCGTGTGAGCCATGCTCCATGCTCTGACAAGGGACCTTTTGCTGCCTCTTTTCGCACTGTTCTTCCACGCTATCAACCACTGTTGCTGGGATTCACAAGACGAATCCACATTGGGTCATTTGCTGCACATAGCTACGTTGGAAATCATGGCTCATCACCCTCAACTGAACATGTTCGAACGCTTGAGCCTCCCTTCCCTCTCGGAGGACTGGCCTTGTGTGACTCACTCACCTTCCAATGGAGCGCATGCTCTTCGAGGTGTGGTTGAATCTCAAAGCCGCGCTCAGGCTTTGTAGTCCTTAGCTTTCCCACGCCGCTGATGGCTTGTATAGTGCACAAACAATGTAAGGAACATGGGCAGGCACTGAACTAGACAAAGGGTTCAGCGCTTTCCAGGAGGAAAGGAACAAAACTGAGAAAATTGTCTGAGCAAGTCCAAAGGGTCCCACCCTTGTACATGCTTCCGCACGATCTTTCAATGAACCTCGAATATATTCGGGTCACGCAGTGAGGCGAAATTCCAGCACTCATCAATCGCTCCAAAATATGGTCCGCTGCATGATTGCTTGGTGCACAGACTAAGATGCGTCCTTGCCCTGAGCAGCACACAGGTTGGTTTTATGCATACTTCAAAGACCGAAAAGCCACATGACATTCGGAACTTCTGAAAACCACATGTCACCATGTCATGCAACGATTACATTGAGTTTTGCATAATTTGTTCACCCCACTCTGCCTTTCTTCAGCTGTCTCGAGACCGACAAGAGCGCAGCCACACACTCCACCAGGAAAGACGTCTTGCCTGTGCCAGGAGGTCCTTGAACCATCGAGAAAGGCCTCTGCAGACCCCGTTGAACCGCCAGCGTCTGATTCTCATTGAGTTTGGTGGCACCACACACAGATTGCATCGCATACTTCACCTCCGGTCAACACTTCGGCAGGAGCCATGGAAAACCAAGGAGCTCCTCTGAAGACCAAGATGTATGAAGGAAAGGCAAAAGTTTCATACTATGGTTTTAGAATTGGTGGATTGCATTCAATAGGCGTAACTAATTTGGCAGATAGAAAATGATGTCTGGCAGCTTCACGGTGCATCCTTGCCTCTTCGATGCTAACCAAGGGCCGCATCTCCATCTCTCTCTTCATCTCCCTGGCACTTCTTGGGATATTCAAGCGCATGCCCCGCAGCGGGGAAGACCTCTGCATATCTCGTAGCAGTTGGATGCTCTTCTTCTCATTGGGAGGGATCAGAATGAACTGCAAACGCCAATTTGAGGCACCATGGAAGAATTCTTCCTGGGCATTCCAAGCCAGCTCTGAGATTTTTGAAAGCTCCACCTCCACAATGAAGCTCTTGCCCTCTTCTGCAGGCGGAGCAGGCCTTTTTCCTCTGATATTTTGGAGGATACCTTGCAAGCTGGCGAATTTGCCATCGTGCTCCAGGGTCAACACTGCCAAGTCTCCTTCTTGGAGCCATTGATGCTCCAACGGCTTCAGATCAACTTGGCATTCGAAGTGCCAGGTGCCACTGGTGGGGAACCACTTCAAGTCACTGACCCTCCCAGCTGGGGTGTATGCATCACTGGCAACAGCCGCAGCATGGACCTGTGTCATCCGACAGCCAGAAAACTGAACTTGTTTGACCTTTGTATCCTGGGTTGGATGGAGAACCCGAAGAGTTACTGGTACAAGTGCCTTGAAAATTCTCAACAACCAATAGCTTGAAACTGCCATTGTCAGATACCAAGCCCTGCCTGGGATAATTTGATCCGTGACCAGACCTGGAGCGTAGCACGGAAAATCAAACCATACAATAATTGTGATATCATGGGGATATAAGGGGGATACAGCGAAAAATAAAATATAAAGGCTCAAAAGATCGGTTCCTGTCAGAAATCAACAGTTGGGTGTATCCTACGTTGGAAGAAAGGATTCCAGACACCTCCACCCCACCTGTGAGTAGGTCTCCAACTTCCGGTCCAGCAAGGGCCAATCACTGAGGTCAGGCCAGGAAGAGAAAGATTCCGGAAAGTTCTTGAGGCCAGTGGGGAAGATGAACTCCTATCAGAAGCTGGCGGAGATGTTTTCAGTTCCTGTCTTCTGTGACTGCCTTCGTCCGAATGGTAGTTCAAAAAGGGACATAGGCTGGATCAAGTAGAGACTAAGTTCATGAAGCGGTTTCCTGGCAAAAATCCATGAAATCCAGAATACCAGTAGTACCGCACAGGGCGGTGGCGGAAGTTGCAAGAATAGGACACTATAGGAGAGGTGAGTTGTTGTGATGCATGGATGGCAAAACGAACCCACTGATGGACCGAAAGGTGGTTGGAGTTGTGTTTTTTCGAGTGGTTGCAATGGTTGCAGTGGTCACCTCACTGACAACTGCTGGATGTAGTGTGGTGTAGCGCAGCCGTGCTTATAGTTCTAGTTGTAGTGTAGTTGTAGCTGTAGTGTAATTAGTGTAGTGTAGTTGTAGTTGTGGTGTGGTGTGGTGTGGTGTAACGATTGTAGTGTAATGTAGTGTAGTGTAGTGTCGTGTAGTGTAGTGTAGTGTATTTTAGTGTTGTGTGCTGTAGTGTGGTCTAGTGTAGTGAAGTGTAAAGTAGTGTAGTTTTAGTTGCAGCTGTAGTTTTAGTTAGCGTAGTGTAGTGTGGTGTGGTGTAGCGTAGCGTAGTGTAGTGTAGTGTAGTGTAATTAATGTTGTGTAGTGTAGTGTAATCAGTGTAGCGTAGTGCTGTGTACTGTAGTTATAGTTGTAGTTGCAGTTGCAGTTGTAGCTGTAGTCTAGTCTGGTGTAGTGTAGTGTAATGTAATTAGAGTAGTGTAGTGTAATGTAGTGTAGTTGTACTTAAGACTTGTAGTTGTAGCTGTAGCTGTAGTAGTAATTAGTAGTTGTAGTTGTTCTTTTAGCTGTAGTGTAATTAGTGTAGTGTAGTCCAATTAGTGTAGTGCAATCTAATGAGTGTGCTTTAGCTTTGCATTTTTGCATGTGGAGTTGTAGCTGTAGTGGTAGTGTAGCGTAGTTGCAGTTGCAGTTGCAGTTGCAGTTCTACTTGTAGTTGTAACTGTCCATCTATCTATCTGTCCATCTATCTATCTATCTATCTCTCTATCTATCTATCTATCCATCCATCTATCTGTCTATCTATCTATCTATCTAATCTATCTGATCTATCTAATCTATCTAATCTATTTATATATTCTTTCTATTCTATTAATCTATCTATCTATCTATCTATCTATCTATCTATCTATCTCTCTCTCTCTCTCTTTCTCTCTGTCTGTCTGTCTGTCTGTCTGTCTATCTATCTATCTATCTATCTATATATCTATCTATCTTTCTTTCTTTCTATCCATCCATCCATCCATCCATCCATCTATCTATCTATCTTATCTATCTGCCTGTCTATCTGCAAGTTTGAAAATGAAGCTATTCTGCGAGACTTCCCCAATTTTTGAACCTGACAACATCAGAAGCGCAGCAATTCTGCAGAACTACATGATTTTTTGAACTTGACAACCTCAAAAACGAAGCAAGTCTGCGAGACTTCCTCATTTTTCAAAGTTGACAACATCAAAAACGAAACAATTCTGCGAGACGTCCTTCAAAAATGGAAAGTTGAGTAGAGCTGACGGCCTCGTACCAATACGTTTTGCGATTTTTCACTCCATCTGTCTAAAGTACCGCTCCTGCCACGAAAAAGTGATGCCAGGTCATACAAAGTGCTGCACCTGTCACGCAAAATCATCTTCGCAAACCTGAAGAACCGATGCTCCAAAATGCAACCCCTCTCAGGAAATCAGCACCCTGACCTCCTAACATCTCTGATGAACATGTCTCTTGTACTGCACCTCCCACGTAACATGCATCTTTGCAGATCCTCTTCAAATGTCCAACGCCTGCCAATGCTTTTGAACCTGCTACAAAACCCTCACATTTTGCTAACTTTTTTGGCAAGGTGCAGAATCCCATGCGCCTGCCAGGCAAACGACATCCGAACGTCCAAAAGTCGAAATGTGCGGCATACACTTTTTCGACAGCTCAATTCTAAAAGTGCTCGGAAGCTGCGGCGCTTTTTACATTTTGACTTCGAAATGTGGTTCACACCACAACGGCGTGCACTTTTTCGACATCTCAACTTCCAAAAGTGGTCCGAACATGAGGTGTGTTGTACATTTTGACTTCGAAATGTCCTTCGCACCACAAGGGCGTGCACTTTTTCGACATCTCAACGTCCAAAAGTGCTCCGAAGCTGGTGTGTTTTGTACATTTTGACTTCGAAATGTGCTTCGCGCAGTGGTCCGAACCTGGTGTGTTTTGTACATTTTGACTTCGACATGTGTTTCGAGCCACAACGGCGTGCAATTCTTCATCTCTCATCTGGCCAGCTGGCTCCGCACCCCCCGCTTTAGCGAGCCTACTTTTCGACCCTCCGGAGCCACAAATCATTGGAAAAACACAGTGAATCGGTTCTTTCAGTCCAATGCACATAAGATCCAACCGAAAAGTTACCAGCCATCTTAAAGCTTCCAAGCCATATTCTAGCAAACACCTTCACAGCACTCGGGTCCTTACATCAATGAAATGCGCCGGAAGCAGGCACGCCCAAATGAAATTTAGCAACTGCATGGCTCAAAAAAGCTTGCGCCAGCGGACCCCCAAAATGGGGGCCGAAATTTGCAGCGAAAACCGGAGCCCTCACAAAGGGCTTCCCGACGTTTCTACCTTTTCGCGCACCTGCATCTTCTTTCCTCTGACTCTTTCTCTTCTCTGATCTTTTTTCTTCTTCTCTTTTCTTCTCTGACTCTTCACACCTCTGCTTTCCCATCTGTCCATATTGTCGGAAGTTTGACTTCTAAACTTCCTGCGATCACCAATGTTCACTGTCTGACTGCGTGCAAAAGCATCAGCAATTCACTGCCGAAGTGATGATCCTTCTCTCCGTGAAACCTGATTTCCCAGACCACGATGGAGTTGGGGCTAGCGTGGTGCGGGATGGGCTGAGCATAGTTGCGGGCGACCACGCAGGTCATTCGCTGAGGGAACCAGGACAAGACCCGCACAGTCTGCACGGGATCCCTGCCAGGACCGAACTTGGAAAAGCACCGAACCAGGAATTTGGCAAACTGTCCTACAGTACCCCAACATCCCCTCTGAATGACTTCCCAATGTTTTCCTGTTGGACATTGCCAGCCTGCCATTCTGCATAGTGAGCTTGATAGACTGAGTGGTCGCATCGTACTCTGAGACACAGCTAGAACTGCACAAGGAGCTCACTGGAAGTTTCAGCTCCTTAGACCAGCTGTCGATTGTTGTGGCGCTTAGAGAAATTTAGAGACTGTACCAGTAGGAATAAAAAACATCAATCATGTTGGTTCATAGTGAGAATTCGCCAATGAGTGCTAGTGCAAATTCTGATAAACACTCACCCCATGCCATGGATGTTTTCATGTTAGCATTAAGTGATGAAATATCACTACCACTCCGGCAGCAAAAGATAGGGCAGGCTAGACTCCAGAAGGTGAGTGGACTGAGTCGGAACCAACAGGTTGATGTAGGTGGGGCCAACTGCTCCAACCACTGCATCTTTGATCAACTGCCCACTGACCGACAGCTCTCGCATCCTCAGTGAGGTGCTTGGATCTGCAGCTTCCACAGTTTGTGGTCTGGGAGTCTGGTTGGCTCCTCTGATTCATTCCCTTTTCGTGGGAAATCGGAACTGATTTTGCTGAACTTACGAGCCCTGATTGCGTATACGAGAGTCCCAGGATCAAACATGCTCAAAATAAATCAGGAATAGATCCTAATGATGTGTATGCTCTCGGGGTGAATTCTCAAAAACCGAAACATCACCTTCCCTGTGAGGGAACTGCAACAGGTCGGGACGCAAATTGATCAGCCGAGAATCCTCGAGATGGTCCGAAAGATGTGCCGCCCGAAGCTTTCCGCGGCCATCCGGCAGTTGGTCCGGGCGACGGCCTCCTCCAACTCCCTCCGGGAGAGCAGCAGGTGAGAATGCGAAGCCGTCCATCCAAGCTGAGACTTCAAAGCTCTCATGCCCAAAATGTCGATGTAGCGATGCAACGGAGACGTAACCTCAGGCTTTCCGCACTGAGATGCTTCGGGAAGCTTCATTTTTTCACTAACATATAGGTCTTGAAAACAAGGCTTTGCCCAACAAAGGCACATCTTAGATCACCTGCAAACGGGTTTGGAGGCATCCTTTGGTGTCACTAGTCTGCCAAACAAGGAAAAAATATACAACATTCAAAAGGCACAAAGCCTTGAGCTTTGCCTTGAGAGCACGATTTGGCTCGAAAGTCGCACAAGTTCACAACTATTGAAGATGATTGTTTCACCTCTCTACTCTCCACAGATGTGTTTGCTTGATAGGATTGAAATCAGGCTGAGCCAGCAACATGGAATCGGTGCTCCGGATGCCACCACTCACCTTGGTCCCTGCAATCTTCACTCGATGCTGAGGTGACGACATAGTATCCAGCCGGAAGCGCAGCATGCAAACGGCGAAGAAAGGAAGATCGCAGGGCATATTTCTGCCCTTTTGTGAGCCCTGGTTGCTGCAAAATGTCTCCCAGCGTGCGCATCACGTCCTGTAGTGGAAGGAGAAAGCATGTTCGCAGTGCGGCAAAGGAATATTCAAATTAAATGAATTAATTAGCTCTCCTTGAGCATCCTCTGAGCTCAAAGACTCACGAAAAGAACTCCAATTTCGCCAAGGGTCGGCCACGCGGATCTCCTTGTCTCGATCACTGCGATTCACACGAAGCAAGCGCTCAATCACCTTCCGGGTGCTGGGATCAGCCTTGCCCTGGATGTACCTGACGGTGAGTTTGGCATCTTCCTCGTCTTCCTCGCCGTCCAAGAGCTGGTTCCAGGCGTCAGCCGTCAAAGCCGCTCCAACATGGCGATCCACCATGCACATGCAGCCCTGCAAGAGCTGCTCCGTTGCCACCAGTGGACCTGGAAGCTCGTCTTTCTCCTTGGTTTGCTTTTCCAAGAGGGGATTGAACTTTCTGAACTTTCTGAACTTTCTGTGAGCAACATGCAAAACTTACAGTCGGTGACTCCAATCACGTCTAGCTCTGGCTCAACCCACGGTACTCTTCCAAGGCATCAAATCCATTGTGATTTCAATCAAGGATCTACCAGAGGATGTTCCAAGGCAGATCCACTTCCACCAGCAAGGTCAGATCTCCGAAAGTCCACCACATGAGAATGTAGGCGTCGGAGCACTTGACCAAAGTCACCTCCCTCATCAGACAGGATCATGGCTCCCGCCTCCAAGTGTGGTGAGTGGAGTGATTGTTGAATGGGTTCAACTCACAGAGTCTGATTCTTAAAAGATCTTAAAAGTCTTCCGGATTTACGAAGAGAAACTACTGTTTTTTTGACTGCCTTCTCATCAGTCCATGGCCTTCTTGTCAATCCCGGGGGAATAAATTCAATCTGAATCAATCCAGTTGAATACTTGACGGGTTACCCGGGTTACCCTGGCCTCTGACGGAGTCAGGATGCGGTCGCACCGCACAGTGGTTTCGCTTACCGCAAAAATTTGGAGCCTTCCCTGAACTGCCTGGGCCACGCGGCAATTCTTGGTGGAAATCAGAGACAATCCCAGTGAGATTTGGCTACCAATACTGAGGATTGTCACATCCCAACACACACAGAGCAGATGAGAACAGTCGAAGATCCGCAAAAATGGACCGCCAGATCCCAAACCATCCACACTGGCCTGGAATGTGAAGGTCAAGGCAGGCCTTTCCAGGCCAACCTTGAACGTCAGCTCTTCCTTGCCACAGTTCAACACACAAATGAAGTGTACAAACCCGCACTTGATCTGCAGCCATTTCAAGGTGTCCTGAGCAACTTTACCCGTTACCCAAAAAAAAAATCCTGGAAGAGATTGTTGCGGAGTGCTATCATCTGATTGTGCTTGGGACATGGGTGAACACGGTGAACTGCCGTTGATGGGAGAAATAGATGTCTCTGCCTATGTGCTGGCCTCGACGTTGGGCGGGAACAGTGGCAAGTTGGCCTCCAAGGGGTTGTCGAGATGATCCAGGAACCATGCTCCGACTGACCGCTGCCGTAGCAAGTTTTCCACCTTCTCCATCCCCACAGCATCCAGGTATGCCTGGGGCACAGTCTGGGAGTGTTCAGGAGCTGGGAGCAACCCCCCCAGTTCGCAAAATTTGCAGAGGGGCACCAGCTGGGAGAGCTTCTTCGAATTGAAACTTCAGGGCCACATCCATATAAACGAGTGAAACAAATAGAAAACACTAACGAATCAAAAGCAGTGTGCATTCACATCCAGCACGTGCACGTGAAATTCATTTTGACCACAGGACATCACCATACTGGTGGGCATTTCTGGATGCTGAATGCCCACAGTCAAGCCGCTGTCTGCGACCCTTCTCCTGTCAGTTCAACAAGCGCATATGAAAGCCCTGCACCGTTGACCTCTGGACTCCGAAATACATTGGAACTAAGACATACTACACCTAAACAGCACTACAGCACTACTAATCTCCAAAAATGTATCAAGTATTGCATGCTACAAGTGAATGATCACGGGCCCATCTGCTTTCCACGGCCCTTTGTTTCTCCTCGTGGGCTGCGGGAAGTCTGCCACAGCAACACCATGTCTGGGATCACCCCGTGGCCAGTCACAGAAATTCAGGGAGGTCCTTGGCAGATTGCAGGAGACTGGGGAAGAATTCAACGCGGTTGGGTGTCTTGATGTTCTGTTCAAGATTTTGCTGAAGCCAAGCTGAGGCTCTGAACTGCCTCCAAGATGGACGTGTCTGAGTTTCGGGAGTTCATTTTCAGCCCCTCCAAGTACTGTCCTCTCGGGCATCGCTCACCACTCCACTCCAGGACTTCTACCTTCGGATGACGCATGCGTTGACAAAGTGCCCTGCTGTAGTTGCCCAAAACTGTCCATGATATACAAACACTTGAGCTTAATGCATGCTGGAAACTCGTGGCAGCTGCTGCTGGATGTTTTCTTCCTGCGCTAAGATGCATCTGAGCTGCAACATGCAGATCATGGCTGCTTGGCAGTTTGGAGGCTGTGTTCCATGGTACTTGGATCGCCGGAAGTTTGCCATTGATCGGTTTGAAAGCTACCTCAGGCCGAGACTAAAGCCACTTGCACCATCTCCGCTCTCATGCGATCTAGGAAAGGCTAAGCATATCCAAAAGCGCTGCCCCAACGTTGGTTTTCCCCGTAATTTCTGATCCTTGGGCCCCTTTGGAAAAGCAAAACTGTCTTCAGCCCGAGTCACACATCTTGCATTGTGCATGACTTTGGGTTTCACGCAGACAAAAAGCTTCTGCCTGGGAACTCCGAATTCCATGGCATGGACGATGCGTCCAAAGAGCTCCATCCTGCAATCAGGATGGAGACCATCGTCCCTGGTGAGTTTGGACGCAATGGAAACTAGTGGAGCAACTGAGAACACGTGCAGAAACCAAACAGTTCTTCAATTCCGAGCTTTAGACCTGCAAAAGTGCGAGTCAACAACTCTCCTTCTTTATCCAAACCGGCCAGCTTTAGCAAGTGGGACGGGATAGTTCACTGCATTGGGTCAGTTGGGTTTGGAAAAAAAAATTGAACATTTGCCGGTTTCTGCCCTATCTAGCCCCAAAAAGTTGGACGGTAGTTCCAAATTGTCCCTTCGCATCTTTCACACCAGCGCCAGGTTTCTGCCCCGAAAACATGCAGCTGTTGCCAGTCCTTTCCATATCCAGCGCACTTGCATCAGCTGGCTGGCTGGACTTCAAGACATGTGCCTTTGCGAGGTTTCCCTCCAGGAAGCCAGAGGCTAGTGGCAAATCATTCAATCATCAAGCGCTAGATGATTCTGGTCACATAGTAAGCAACAATAGATAAAGCCCCCACACCCAGCCCAAGTGTGGTGGTTATATGCGTTTCCTTAAGAGCCAGCAGCACAGGCGAAACACCTTTTTAGCCAGTTCTTGAGCCAAAATGTAAAGTCGCATCAGCAAAATAAGGTGCATGACACATGTGCATAAAGGACGTCATGATATGTGGTGGCTTCACCTACAAATCAATAACTCCCCCTTTGTTCTGTACATGCACATGGTCAAACGATTTCAGGGACCAAAGCAAAGTATTGCCTGGCCAATTTCGGGACTTTCTTTGGATTCAATCATGAGGAGCAAGACATAGCTGATTGAGCGTCTGTTGCCATTCGGCCTGTCCAATGACTTTTGTGAATCCGTTTGCCAACCGAGCCGTTGTTTCACAGTAATCCAAGTCAAACACACCTTGATCCAGTTGTTCGTGGATGGATGCTACATTGACTCTAGGGACTCGTCCAGCGAGACGAAGCTTGCACTGTATTCAGATTGGATAACTGTGACGGCAGCCTGATTATCCTGCTGAAAGGAAACAGGAACACGAACCTCAGTTAAAGATTCAATCATTGTATGAAGATTGGGTGCTTCGCCGAATAATGCGCTTGCGCATGCAATGAGCTCAGCTTCTGTGGTACTCCTCGCGGTCGAACTTTGTTTCTTCCAGGACCATAGTAGCGGGAAATGTGATGAACCAGTTCGAAGGACATATACAACACCAGAAGTGCTCTTTGATGTGTATGGGCAGGATGCAAAGTCGCTGTCAGTGTATACCAGCAACGTTGGTGCTTGGCCAGGTTCAACTGCAGCACGCATGACGTATTCACATGTTGAGTTTAGGTAACTCACCAGTCGCAACACGCAACATTTGCCTATCCTCCCATTTAGTCCAACGTCCGATTCGACTAGCCAATCGCTGCACTGCAAAACTAATGTCAGGTCTAGCAAGACGTGATAACCAGAGGCACCTCATCAAGATCCTTTCCGCAAATGCGTGCATCTCACCCTCATGAGCCAATTCCTCATCTGTCACCTGATTCTCCAGCAAACACGGCGTGCTCACTTTACAGAGCTTCTCTTGTCTCATGCCAGTAATTTCGCAGTAAAAGCTAATTATCCCTTTTGAATATGATCTCATGTCATATGTCATGACAACTTGTTTTGGGTTCCTTTGGATTGAGTGCACCCAACCAAGAATCTTCACCCATTCTCCCTAATATGCTGTTCAAGATCAGTTTTCACTCTGAGCTTCAAATCCTTCCAAAATTGCATTTGGACGTCCTTGTTCCCCCCTGCTAAGGTAAGGTCATCCACATAGATGTTTAGGATGAGCGTGTATTCACAGTTGTCACCATACCTGAAAATAAAGTTTGATTGGTATGATTCGAGTGGGATGCCACCCATTTCTTTTAGTTGTGTCTCGAGAAAATTTTGCCACAGATTTCCACTTTGTGGATGACCACAAAGTGATTTTATCAACTTCACAGCCAACTTTGTGTTTGGGTCACACTGCTTTTTTCCATTCTGGCAACCATAGCTCAAAGGGTGATATAACCCACGTGCTGCCATCCAACTTGCATTGCAAGTATGCTTGGATGCAGTCTGCACATGACACAATGGACATTGCACCGTACCAAAGTGTCAAGTTGAGTGCGGCTATCGCATTTGGAGTGGTCGCAGTTTCATTTTCTGAGAAGAGAACATGATCACTCATTTGATTTGTTATTCTATCACCCCGATACACAATACGTCCTTTGTATTGGTGGTATTCTTCAGGCATCTCATGGTGTTTTATACCTGCCAGCGTCAAGACTTCAGCGATCGAGGCATTCACACCGGTCTCTCGCGCTCGGTGTTTCAACAGGTGAAGAGGAATGATGACGGTTGTATCATCCCATGTTCCATTTGATCGAAGACCTATTTGACAGGTTCTTTGCGACAAGTGCTGACACTGAGCTGAGATCAGGAACATTGGTGAACCATTTCCGTGGATACCAAGACTCAAGAATGACTGACACAAACTGTTCTGTCTAAAATCCGGTTTGTTTGGTTTGGCTGCCTTCGGCGGGCTCACATTCATGTGCACCATCGCATTGATATTCAGCAAGTGCTTTGAGAATCCGTTCATCACAGGATGAAACGCACCAAGGCTTCTTGATGGGTTTGGCTTGTTTACACCATGACCACCCACATACAACCATGGAAGTATACTCGTCTGAACCCATGATCCTTTTCAAATTGCTGAACTTCAGGAAGATACCACCGTCTGGAGTCTGCGACCACCTTGTGAAAGGAGCTTACTCATCACCTCCGATGCCAATCCAAACATCTTACGCCCGTGCTTCCTACGCTTCCGAAGTTTCTTTTCGTATTGGGCACCATACCGATGGATGCTCATATGTTGCCATGGGCAAAAGTCAGTGCAAGGGAGACCCACCCACCCATCAGCACCTGGCCTTTGTTCTACATGTTCGAGCAACTGAGACACCTGACGACCATCGGCAAGATCAATGGTTTCCCTCGAAAGACGGATACCCTCAATCCCAACAGACTCACACATTTCACCCAATATTGAATTTTCTGAACATGCATATTCGAAAATGGTATCAGAACCTGTGAGGTTGTGCATTCTCCGAAATTTCCTACCCTATTCGTTGTTCATGATAAACTCTTGGTCGATCTCTGTGTTGATACGTGCAGCGGCAGCATGTTCAGGATGCTCTGGATGTCCTGGTGGAATTCCTGCACTGAATGGAAGGTCCTCTGGTTTTCCTGTTGGTTCCTCAGTATCTGAGGGCATGTGATGTTGAGGGACATCATCACCATCTAACGGTTTACCGGGGTCTTTCTCAATTGCTATGGATGGAGGCAAAGGAGAAGATACAATCTTAAAGGGGGCCTTGGGTGCACGAATCTTATCAGCCTTGATAAGTGCATCAAGACGAGCCCTACACGCTGGTGTGTGTGTGTGTCTTCCTGTGACTTTTTCACATCCTGTGCAAAAGGGAGAGGGTCCGCACTTAATTAGTCTATTTAGTGTGATATACTCATGCCGCGTTGAAGCCTTTGCATCACTTGGCAATTCACTGAAAGGCACTTCAGTGACTGCTAGATCTTCTGGCTTCGGCTCGCGAAACAAAGCTTAGTGCCTCATCTGCAGCAGCCTTCAAAGGCAAAACTGGTGGACCATCGGGCACGTATACTTCTTCGCAAGCGATAGCGATGGCTTGATTATATCCAGATTCTTGTGATTTCACTGCATCATAGTAATGCACATTTTTGTGTGATTTTGGACCTGGGTCGAATCTCCATCCAGCAAACAGTGCTGGTGACGCTGCTGCCTCAAACGTAGCAAATGTCTACCTCAAACTCTCGTCACGTCACGCACAAATCGATTGGATGACTCACCTTCAGGTGCATTCTTGAGTGGATGGAACTGGTTCATTGCTACTCAGGCATATGACACTGCGTGTTTCCACAAACCAGTGAGGAGGTGGAATCCTGCAGCGAGATGCACAGATCTAGTCACTTCTTCAAGTGTCCGGGTCTCTCTTTCCAGGGTTGCATTGTGAGGCCAAAGTCTGGCTAACGTTGGTTCATGCACTAGTCCAATAATTCCACATGATGCCGCAAATTCTCTTGCGTTGTCAGTTTTACATTCTTACTGTGTTGCACGAAGGGCCAAGAAAAGCAGGTAGATTCCTCATTACAGTTTCAGCGCCGTGCTTTACAACCTTGGAAATGCAGAGATAAAACGAGAGTATTCGTCACACACCACTTGAACATAGGATTCATTCATGCCATTACTTGACTTTGATACAACCACAAAATCAGAAGCAATTCGCTCGCCGAACTTTGTCACGGGCTCGAGGTTGCCTCTTGATTCTAAGGGGTCACAACGTACCCGAGCAGTCTTGGATTTATACATCTTTGCTCTCCTGCAAATCTCGCAGAAAGGATTTTTAGGCAAATGGCACGTTCGATGCTTCATGGTTTGAGATTCATGTACGAGAGCATCACCGCCAACATCACCACCAACATCAGATTCAAGAGATTGTGGATCACTATATGATGTTCCCTAGTAGGGTCGTGATCACCTGCACTTGCTGCGGCAACTTCTACAGCCGACGCTTTTGGACCTGATGCAGTCATATGTTCTCTGAACACAGGGACAAAGTCATCAATCCGATCGGCAACATGGATTCGCGCTGCATTAGCAGTAACCTGAACATCATCAACAGTCTCAGCGAGATATGGCAATTGATCTGGTATCCAAATGAAGGGCTTTCCTGACGCAACAATCTGCCCCATTGAACGCACAAGTGGACAATCATCCATCATGTTGAACTGAGCCTCCCCAAAATGGTTTCCTGTCAACTGCACACATGTATCACTGGTGTATGAACCATTCCCTGTTTCCAATTTTGTTGGTGGAACCCCGATAAGGTTTTGGTTGACCATTTCTTTTGAGAACCCTTGCTGTGCAAACGCTCAATCAGAATCCAAGTCACGACCTGCACCACTGTCTGCTATCCACTCAAGCTTGTGAGAGACCTGTCTGGATGATTGTGCATATAGTGCAATTCTATTGGAAAGGATCGCAGGCATACATGTTGTAAATTTCCTCTTGGCCTGGGCCTCCAAAAAGGCCCCGTCAAGTCTGGAAATTTTGTGCCTTTTCCTGGGTTTGGGGCCCTATTTTTTGGGAGTTGCTGGTGTCTTTCGTCACACGGAAAAAATTGGCACATACATGGGAAAGCATCTGTGACACCGACGCCGAAACTGGCACACACTATAGCCTGGGTGGCTGCACCCTGTGGCTCAGTACATCCAACTGCAAACGACGGAATACATGGGAAGGCATCTTTGACACCAGCACCAAAACTAGCTGCGCCCTGTGGCTCAGTAGGTCCGACGATACTCAATTCTCTCAACAAACTTTTCAAGATCCTTGGCTGTATAAGCATCCAACTGCAAATTCAACAAGGCCTTCTGTGTCAAGTTACTGCCCCTGTTCAGACGAGACGGAAGTGCTGAGCAAGCATGTACAAAAAGGCTCTGCCACGGGGAGCACATTGAGCCATTTGGCAAGACTCGGCATAGGATTGAAACTTCATTCCAAGCTCACCTTTCAAATGACGACAGTCCATAAGAAGAGAACCAAGATGGGAATCCAATCGTGGCAACAATCCGCTATCAGAAGCATATTCAGAGATGCCCCTACTTTCCTCAAAGGCTTCCATCACCCGGAATGTGTTCCTCCAGGCTCTAAACTCTGAGATGCTGTAGTTGGCAAGTTTTCCAAACGAATCAATGGCAAATCCTTTGATCGATACACATCTTTCTCGGCCATGAAACCCAAAATAATGGAACCAATCCCGATGGATGCATGACCCTGGCCAATTGATGACCCACCCCGCTGAATCGGTGGGGCTCCGTCTCCAGGATTTCCCCCACCACCACCATCTCTACCTCTCCCAGCATCTGACGAACTGCTGCTCGATCCTCCAGGTGATTGTGATCCTGATGGCCATGGTGCAGCCAGTGTCGATGGTGTGGGTTTACTCGGCGTATTGGTGACTGATGGATGAAACCCGGCACATGCAGACATCTGGGACAATAGGGTATTGTGTCCAACTGGAGTGTACAAAGGAATCGGCACTTGCGATGGTGCAACCGGCATTTGAGTCATCATTGGCACCGTAGTCTGACCTTGCAGCATGGGAATCTCATTCCTCCATTTCATGACCACCTGCATTTATTCACTATCATTCACCGCACCATTTTGGGGATGAGGTTGAGATGATGTTCGCAAAAGGTCAACTTGCTCTTGCAACCCAAGGATTACCGATCGCATCTCCCTTTGTTCATCCTTTTGGAATCGTAGTTGAACACTCTGATCATGGATTGTTTGCATCAAACTTGCATTTTCATTCATCGCTTGGTTCAACCGTTCTTGGGCGATCCGATGAGCATCATGTGCAACAGCCTGCATTTGATCCCTTTGGTGTTTCAACTGCAGATCTTGTATCAAGTCATGGGCCCTCCGCTCAACGGAATGGACATGCGACTGAGCTTGATGGTGAACCTCATTGACCTGATTTCTCATGTCAGTTTTTTCACTTGCAGATTGGGATCTAGCTTCATTCACTGCTGCATGAGCTTGCGACATGATAGTAGCCTCTCGTTCGATCACATGTTCGGGGGAAACACCGAGTGTCACTTGCAAACCTCTGATCCTGACTGTGAGTAGAGGACCTTTGGTCCTGATTCACTTGAGAATCATGCTCATGTTGATGAGTTACTGACCTTTGGTCTTGTTTCACCTGCAACACACTCTGATCATCATGATAGGTTAGCGATCTTTGATCATACACATGCACAGCCCCTGGGCCCCGATGAGTGACCGCTGACCGACCGGAAGGAGGTCTGGATGAGCAATGGCTACTGCTTCTGGACGACCCTTCTGGACTCCTTTTGCTAGTCTTTCGGACGTCTCATGCACGTGTTGGCGAGGGTTGATCAGCAATGTTGATGATACCTGCAGAGACTCTGATGTATCCATCTCCCCACCAGGCATGATTTCATTTATGTGCGGCCTAACGAGAACTCACTAAACTACCACAAATGAACACACCTGCAGTAGGGTTCACCGGTCACACCCTTTTGTTCCACAAGCGGTGTTGCCGTGCGGCAGCGCCCCGCTGAGTTCAGAGCAAAGACACAGTCACTGACTTGTGATTTGCACTCGAAACTGATCTGGATTGAATTTATTACTGGATGTTGTTTCAGAAGGCCAGGGACAATCAACTAGAATGGATTAGAGAACGAATCACAAGCAGCGAGTCACCCAACCTATTGTACGTATAATCTATTTCAACCAGTGGCGGCCGAAGAGAAAATTTGACCAGCGGCCTGGGTCAGATTCCAAACCGATGGGATGTTCTGCTCAACACCAGGTTTGCGGAGTACTTTCACGTGGCAAGAGGCAAAATGATCAGCTCGAGCTCGATGGAATTCCACACAGACTTGTGCCCTGTCGTCTGTGTGAAGTAAAGAACTACGAGAAATGCCGCGGGCAATCAAGTTTCCCACCAAAGCCAACTGCGTCTTCCTGACAAATCACGATCTTGTCAATTGGCAGTGTTGATGGTTGGTTCACAACTTGTCGCTTTCTCCACTCAGAATGCATGTAACTGGTTACAATGACCTTGAATCCTGTATCCCTCAAGCGCTGAACTGCTCGTCTGTTCTCAAGTGGAATTCTGTTGTCCCGTGACGTCGGACGGATTGCACGGTTGTTGGAGATCCGATGGAAATCTAACACTTGGTGGAAATCAATCGAAATGACAGTCACGCCCCAGTTCAGCAATCGCTGTGGGAATGCCAAATAGCCGTCTGTGTTGAACACTGAGCACTTGCGTCTTCGCAATTGGTCTCGATCAACAGTTGGCCTGAGAGTGATTGCCCTGTCCACTCCTGATGGTCTGGTTGTTGCAGCTGACTTCACTGAAACAAGTTCGATCTCTGGAGGTTTGATTGGAATTCGGAAGATTTGGATGATTTTGACTTTGCCACTGCTTTTGCCTTGGTTGTTGCACATACAGCTGAGGATGATTCTGCTGCACCTGAGATTCGTGGCGGAGGTGGTGGTGGCACAGTTCTAGATGATGCTTTCGCTTTTGCTACCGGTACTGCACGCACTTCAGATGTCACCACACTAGAAGCTCTTGGCACCACTCTCGTAGCTGAAGACGAATTTGACAGTGGATGATCCGGCTCACGAGGTCGCCTTGGCGGTGGGTGATCCGAGCCCGGTGGTCACCACTGAGATTCCTCCTCGTCTTCTTCCTCCGACTGATCCTGAGGTGGATGCACAGTTTCGGAGTTTCCGCGTACTCCGACTCAAGATCTGAATCTTCAGCACACAGCAACAGAGGATCACCTTGCTTCGGAAACCACCTATTATTAATTATACTTCACCGCGTTCCACGTGTCAGAGATCTGTGTCCGTCTTCTGATGGAAGCAGCGTGTCCAGATGCGCCCGCAGCAAACTGGATGATATACAGATAGTATTCTAATAACGTCAATAGCAACCTCTTACTTGTCCTCTTATGCCGTTTTCCCCGACGATTCCTTCGAAGATGTTCTGAAAACCTCTCTGACTGTTCGTTCAAGAGGCAAGCGATGTCACCAACTGGCACAACCGGACTTCTAGATCTACGCCTGTAATCTGAAGGCCCTGAGCTATCCTGAGCTCATTCAAAACAAACAATTAACGCGGTCGCGGGTTGCAGTGAAACTAAGTCTTGCAGTAGCGGGTCGCGGTGAAACGCATTAGTAACTCGAGCCAGGAACGCACAGCAATGACCTTGTCTTGGATTCTTTCTGAACTTCGTTCAAAGGCTTGGGTTCTCACAAAAGGCTTCCTTTGGTCCTTTGGAATCACTTGAGGAGATCGGCAAAATGCACTTACCAAGCAACTCTGTTTTCTATTTTACTCCGGTGCTGCAAAGGGTGGCAGCGCCCCGGGCGCTAGTAATCTGGTTTGTTGGATTAGGGCTCAGCGCTAGTTGGCGATCACTCAATCCTAGATTATGGAGACTGGAAAATTTATGGATTAGCCGGTGTTGCCTTGCTCGGCAGCGCCCCGGCAGTCAAGCACTGTCCTTGGATTTCAAGTAGGGCTCGACTTGCTTCAGTTGGCACCCGGCCTAAAGCAGTGAAGCAGTTGGCAAGCTGGGGTCACACTTTTGCATGTCAAGGAATCCACGGGCTTTCAACTCGATATTTGCACAGGGATTCAAAGGTTGGTACACAAGTGGCGGTGATGTGAGGATGGGGTGGCTCAAACCCAAGCCTCACAAAATATGTAAGTAGACTCACGCTACCGTATGAGGCTGTTAACCAGGCAAAACCCCCACACCCAGCCCAAGTGTGGTGGTTATGTGCGTTTCCTCAAGAACCAGCAGCACAGGCGAAACACCTTTTTAGCCAGTTCTTGAGCCAAAATGTAAAGTCGCATCAGCAAAATAAGGTGCATGACACATGTGCATAAAGGACGTCATGATATATGGTGGTTTCACCTACAAATCAGTAACTATAATACAATAGTTTGAACCCCTGCAAGCATCATCTTGAATGGATTGTGTCCTTTTCCTTGTACTATTTTCTCACTAAGCTCAGAGATAAATCTACTTACCGCCTGCAGTGTCGTCAAATTCCAGTGCAGCACAGCTGAGGTCGTGGCATCCAAGATTCGGACATAGCATCTGTCATAGTCCCAAGTGGGGCCCCGGTTTTTGCCACACCAAATCTTCACCTTGCAGCCATGCAGTGCTGGAGGTCCGCGTTGCACTATGACCTCACCAGAACCTGTGGGGCACTCAGTCACCGCACCGGCTCAAAGGCTGCAAATGATCAGCAAGGCAGCAAGCATGTCACAAATTGACAGCAGGCTGACAGATCAACAACAAACAAACCAAAGGTTCAAAAAAACATACAAATTCTATTGGACAGGGAGACTCTTGCCATGTCTGAAAACATGATGCCAAGCCACGCTTGGTCACCTCTTTGCCGCCGATGGGGCGAAAAGTGCCGAAAACCACAACCCCGGCAAGCTGCTGCGAGTAGTCCAGAACAGAGGGCCTTAAATTGAAACAGAACGTGGATCAGGATGCTGCGCCATACAAAAAACTGCAATTCATAGAATTCGATCTTGTTTTGCCCTCATTTTGCCCATGTAATTTGCATTGATATCATTTATCTTGTTTCAAACAAGTTTTTGACACCTCATCACTATCTACAGGCACGACTCTGTCTGGCCATTCGATCCTCCCAGTCATTCGGCGCACCAACGCAAGATGACTCCATGGCGTTGGACGGTGGGATCGATGGGTCCGAGTCTGCCTCAGAGTCATTGTCACTGTCCTCGCGCAAGCCTGAGACTCCATTTAGGTCTTCCAGGAGCTCTGCCAACTCTGGTGAATCAACAAATTGCTGACCTATGCAGAGTTCAGCATGAACAAGCAAAGATACTCTAGACAAAAATCAAGGCAGTCCCGTGGCTACTCAAATCAAACCGATTGATGTTCTTGGTTCTAGCATGTTTGAACCCCCAGACCTGACCAGCCATGCTTTTCCAGAACACCACGAAGGCCCTCAGTTTCCACTGCTGCAAGTGCCCGTTCAAGTCTTGGCTGCCAGTGCGTTGCAGGCGCTTGTTGGGACAAGGCCTCTTCGGTAGCTTGGAGGGCATGGTTGAAGGCATCAGCCTCCGAGTCAGGCTCGTGCCACGGCATGGCATTCGAGGCCGAAGCATCCGGGAGGTCGGCTGCGACAGCTGCTGAAGGGACATCCTGTGCCACACTCGGCCTCTGAACTTCATCTGTAGAGGATTGAGCACTACTTGCCGCACCTGGCATCCCGTCAGGGTCCTGCTCAATCCGGCATGTTGCAGTCGTGACTCTTTGCGCCCCTTGGAGGCATTCACCCGATTGGCCCTTCGTGCCCTCAGGGGGAGCCTGTGGGCCCTTTGTGCCCTCGTTGGGCAGCGCGGGCTGAAGCAATATCAGCAGGTGGCTGTGAAACCTATCCGCACCTACCCACTCATCATAGTTCGACCCGTAGTCATTGTAGTTCACATACACAGGGGCGCTGGCTCTGTCTTTATCATCTGAGACCCGCAAGACCGTGCACTGGAAGAGTTTGCCACTGCTAGCATCCTCCACTGTTGCCTGGGAGCCTATCTCAATTTTGGAATAGTCAGGTACCCACACCTCCTCCACGGGAAACCACCCGACCTGGCAACGGCCTACTTGGCCGCGTGCCCAGTAGCGCACTTTCAGTGGTACCGGATCTCGAGTTGAGACAGAGGAGATGCTCAGGACCTCTCCAGGCATCCTCAAGAAACCGTCCTTCACACAAACCACCATGCCTGCTTGAAGCTCAACATGCCCGGTGGTAGGCGTCCTTGTCTGGTGGTGTTTCCACTTGCAGCTTGTGTTGAAGCCACATGGCAAACCCGGGAGATCCTTGTGCACAAAAAGCCTTTTCCCATGATAGTGACTGTGCTTGCTGCGGCAACTTCCCATCAGCCACAGGCAACACACCACTGTCGATTCTGCCCAAAGATCGCATGGCTCTTGGTTCGGGTGCTGGGCTGTTTCTGATTGGTGCCCCTTGCAAACATCGTTCCACGCAACAAGCTTGACATGTTCCAGTTCCAGGCGATCGATTCCAATCCACTCATCCGTGGCAGATCCATAGGAACTGTAGCGAACCTTCACGGGTGCACGGAGCCAGTCTTTGCTCTGGGACACTTCCACAACATGGCAGGAATATGTTCGGTTCCCCCGCCAAGCTGTGACTTGCATCCCTGGGTGCAAAGATGCGTAATCTGGAATCTGCAAACGATCCATCGAAATCCATTCCTCCTCCTGGCGTGGCCCGCAGTACCTCAATTTCACATGTGGCGAAGAAACTTCTACGACTTCCGCGCACAAGAGCTTGCCACCGTAATCCACGCAAACCAGCATGGAAACAGAGACGTCGGATACAGAGCTTACCTGTGCCCCTCGCTTTGTCCATCCAGAAGTTCGCCAATGATCTTGACTTGGAGCCAAGGCGTCTTGCCTGACACCAGGGTCTTGCTGGTCATGCTGACTCTTCCAGTGAAATTGGTTCTCTTCATTCCAGCCAAACTTGGGATCTTTGCTGCCAAAAGATGTTTCCCTGTGTTTGGCGACAGCTTCTTGCTGGTGACTGACTGCCGGCGTGCAAAGCTCTGGACCTTGAGCCGGGGCACATGAGGAAGACGCAGCGCTAGTGCTGAAAGTTTCACCTCGGGAATTTGGCAAGTCCGATTTGTGCCAGCGGCTTGGATGGACCTCTGGGTTTTTGCAAACTTCCACACGCACATCAAGCATTGAATCGCACCACTCTTGCGAAGTGCGAAAAAGAGGCTTGTCCAAATGCCAGGCTTCCGTAAGTTTCCCATGCAATTGAACTCCAAGGCCATCCACCATGGTAGTGATCCTTGCAAATTGGTCGGCAACCTCAGGGTCTGTGGCATGATACAAACGGCACGGTGCCCAGACAGTTCGATATCGCCACATGCCTTGCAGAGCACACAGGGCAAGACCACGGCGATGTCCTCTGACAATGTGCAGCCCATGTTCATCCACGACAACCTGCAGAGGTTCGATCTCCTCTGGAGGCTGTCTCCCGCTCAACATGTCATGAATCAGTTCATAGACAGAACTGTCCTGCAGAGCAAAAACTTGCGAAGTTGCAAAGGTCTACTTCAATGGATTTGAGATGAACGGGAAGTAAGTGTTCAAAATAATTCCAAGAGTTACAGTACAACTTTCTGAATCCACAGGAGCAATGTTTTTTACGACCAAAACATAACCTGTGAATACCATTGAAATGTCCTTGTGTCTTCCGGATGTGAATATCACATTCGGATGAACCTTCCCCTGGATGGAGCGCAGGCGCCAAATGGGAATCAGGACCACACAGCCACTGCCAATGCTTTGTGGATCCGGCCTGGGGAAGTTGGGCCGTGGTTCCAACATGTTCGAAGAAAAGATCGTCGGTGTAAGGAAATCCAAAGGAGACAAAACCGGCATCAGACTTTTACATTTTCAAGCCTGAATCCATTTTCAATTCTAAGTTGAGGGCTCAACGAGTAGGGAACATGACCGTTTTCACAACAACAGGACAGGCCAGGCGAAGAACACTTCTGAAATGTAATCTTTGAGCCTACTGGTTTCGAATAGATTGCTGTGAAGTGAAAAAAATCAGCAGCCAAATGAGGGGAAGCAAATGCAAGCACCACCAAAAACAAAAACGGAAGGTTTTCATGAATTGACGGTCCAAGATGCTGGAAATCCACGACCTCATCTGCAAATGGTATCAATTGCAGCACTGCCGATTTCTGGGGAGCAAATGGTGGACTCACTCGGGCTGCTCCTTCGTTGGGTTTCAGGGTCTTTAGTTTCGCATGTTCCTTCATGATCACACGAAGATGGACCTTCTTCACCACATCCTTGAGGTCCTGCTCGAGATCTTCACTATCCTTGGGTAGGGGAAACTGACAAAAGAAAATTCTGCTATGGTCCAAACTGTAGGATGAACAAATTCAACGTTTTTCTTGGACAAACAAGTCACTGTTTCCATCAAAAACTGTGAATTGTATCCCAGATTTTCGAACTCGGCAAAGTATACCTCCAAATCTGCATGGATATCCCGCAACCATTCTCGGATGTGTGGGTGCGAAATCGCCATGCACGCCGATGGCTTAGCACACAGGCATCAGTGGGAAGAGCAACAGGCTGAATTTTCAAACGATGATGAACGGTGGATTTTGATCTTACCCATCCACTTCATACAAATGTCGAGACATTCTCAAAACCCAACGTAAAATTTCAGGAAACAACCATCGGGTGTCCATCGGTGTTCACCATTGGTTGTCCAAACATTTGAACGGCCTTGTTGTGTCTTGTATATAATGCCCAGTTAAGCACACAGGTTCTGCAAATTGGGCAACTGGAGCCAATGCGGATTTTCTTGTAATATGCAACCATCTGGCTGATTTGCTGCCTAAACACGCTGACAAAATCAACTAATACAAACATGAAAAAGTTTTGTCGTATGAATTTGATGGTTGATTTTTTCCTGAAAAATAAAATGGGGCATTTTCACATTATTGATTTCCCAATGGGAGGCAGCGAGAACAGGCGCAAACATTTTTTCAGGGGAAATCCCGAAACAAATTCATGGACTGTATAGTGCAAAAATTAAAACCATTGAAAAACAAAAATACAAACAATATCAGAGAAACAATATGATCAATACACCCCGTTTCACTCAAGACACCGTTCATTGAATGAAAAAAATGGTTTAAAATTTTGAAAATATGAGGTTCGTGATATAGTGAGTTCGATTTCACGCGCGAACCTTTTCACGATTCTGAACATTCCACCTAGTTTCAAATTCTAAAACCTTGCCAGCATTTTGTGTTGTTACTGAGTTTGTTTCGATTTGTTGCCATTGTTTCTTTGCGTCTGTGCATTGAGGGAGTTGATTCCTTTGGCAATATTTTTTTTCAAGAGAAGGCATGCGCAAATTTTTGACAGGTTGTAAACATAACTATATATTGTGATTTCCAACAAAAAAAACAAAAACAAGGCCGCATAGCGCAGATCGCAACAAAACCAGCCAATGAAACCATGCGCGCCATTTTGTACCTCCATGGTCTGATAGATTAATTTTGCCCAACTCGTCCAGTGAGATGATGTCTACATCTTATGTCCTTGTTTTAATTTTGTTCCCCTCGTTTTTTTTTTCCCCTTTTCCTTCTGTTCGATTTTCCTTTTCGGTCGTTTCTCATCGGTTCCTATTCAAGCCACCCTTCTTTTCGGGTTCCCGCAAGCGATCCAAACCTTCTGGCGGTCCAAAAATGCAGCGGACCTCACCACAATGCAGCCCACTTCGCCCCAGTAAATACGTGGCATCTCCAGATCTAAAGAACCGTGGTGGCCACTCACGCTCTGTCGTAATCACCTAAACCGCAGTGGGTCTTCCATCGCGGTAGGCATGACACTGTACATTTGGGCATCTAAACACATGCCAACCAATATATGGCATCTAATTCGTGGTATTTTTGAAGTTCACAAAATGGTTTCCATTGCTTCAATGTCCCAACCAGAGATTAAATCATATGATTGACATCCAACACAAGAGCTGCCGCAACACAAGCATTATTTTTAGCGTGGTGCAAAAAAAACCGGTCCAGAACTGTACACAACCATTAGAACCAACGGGTCATGTACAGGGTGACCTTGATCTCAGTTGACATACCCCCCCATCAATCGACAACACAATCCCAGGATAACAGGATTTGCAAGAAGTCGAATTCTCGAGGTGGGGAGTTCCCAAGGCACCAAATTTTAATCGAAAATCGACCAGCCGGAGTGATAACTCCCCAAGAACTAACCACAGTCAGCGGACTGCCACAACTCTTTTTCACAATGCTGGATGTCGAAATGCTGAGGCCACTTTCGACCATTTTCAGCAACGAACACACCAGGCGGTTTAAGAAGCGCTTTCCAATGAATGTCGCAAAATCCCACAGGGTCCAGATCAACCGGCAGAGGTTGTTTGAAGCGACTCAAACCATCAGCCTGTACATTCAAATGACCAGGAATGTGAGAAATGCTCGTAATTAAAGAATTTGATTCTTTTCCTTGAAAGCGAAACGCCTGTGGATATATGTATGATTCAACTGTACATGCATGTCATGGCAACTGCAAATGACGACATGTTGAAGTCACAAGTTCAAGTGAAATGCCAATGCATGCAACTGTTTACACTGATATATATGGGATGTGGATCAGGTCAAATCCAATCACCCCGCCTCAACCTAAGTCTTTGACTAAAGGTTGTTACATCTAAATTGCAAACTGCAGACACTCGGCTAGTGTCTCACGGCTATTGGGCTCAGTTGCAAGTTTCCGAAGGTTTTCGTCTCAGTTAAAAACTCGTGCATTGATTGCGAGATCTGCTCACCAATGCTAAAGCATCACATCTCATCCAAGAGTTGCTTAACTAGCCCAGGTTATACATAAGGCCATTGCACTCGGTGATCTGGGAGTCCAGCTGGTGCATCAGGTCGATATCGTTGGCAGTTGATGCTACATCATACTCAGCTTCCAACCTTCGAAGACGTCTGCGCAAGATGTCATTGGTGTCCTTCATCATCTGTTCTATGTGTCCATCTGCATATTGTCGATGGGCAGAAGGCTCATCAGTAGCGCTGGGAGTTCCATGGTGCCAAAGTTGCCAAAGTCCTGGATCAGATACTTCGTCCATGGTGCTCTGGCTGTATCTTTCGAAGCGTTCTTGTGGTGTCTCTCCAACGCTTTCATCGTCTGTTCCCTTTTCTTCTTCGGCACCTTCAACATTGGCCTTGATGGCCTCCTTCTGTTTGCTCTCAGTTTTCGCTCCTTTCAAAAGCTTCAGCACCTTTGTCAAAGTGCCATTCCATTCAAACTGAGTCTTCTCTCCGCGCAGCTCTCGAAGTTCTCTCCTGAGCACAGCTATGTATCCCAGTGTGATGCACAAAATGGTGACGATCACCGCAAAGAAGAAGCCGAAATAGCTTCCATCCACCACCATTGGTTCTTCTGCTGGAGAAGCGGTGGCAGGAGTAAGGCTCAAGGCGCTGATTAACATAACCCTCAAAAAAGCCTTTGCATCATGATTGTTCATTCCCGCAAGTGTGAAAAGTTTGATACCCTTGCTTGTCATTGTTTCTTGTTCTAACTTCTCATTCACTTCAGAGCCAACGTACTGTGAAGTACTTAGGTCATAGACCTTGCAAAGAAACATCAAATAAAGCATACGATCTCTGTTCAACCTTTTTTGTACCCAGGTCACTTGGGTTTTGTTTTGTGCTAACAGGCCCAACTGAAAGAAACTTTTCCCGCACCTTCTGTTGCATCCACAGCACACGCAAACTGATGTGCCTGATCCGTCCAACACCTGAACGGTGGAAGAAACTTCTTCCAGCAGCATTGTCAAGTGCGAGCTTGACTTTCACTGTCTCATTGGGGCCAACACAAAAACATATGCAGTGGTACATGAGAACCGCATCGCTCGTAGCTGACGTACCTGCATAAACTTCTGCTTCACAGCTTGAAAGGGCTAGAGCTTTCTGGCTCCTTGAAGAGGAATACAAAAGGTTTCCAAACATGAAAAGGTATCCTGCACTCACTGAACGTCGTGTAGTTCTATGCTTTGCCCAGTCACTATCGCTAAATATCTCAAGAGTATAATCTTCAGGGTTGTAATGCAAAAGTCCTTGGTGGCTCTCGTACTTCAGCATCAGGCACTGGTCTGTGCCACCTAGAAGATAAATGCAGAGATATCGCAAACATTCCATGGACTGCTTTGTCGGCTTAGACATTGACTGAGAAAGGCCTCGAATAGCATATTGACATTCCACAAGGTCACTGGTTACATAAAGAAGAATACCAGTGCAAGAGCGGTAGATGCTGGCCTGCTGGTTGTCCAACATCTCGGTTTTGTCATCCTCATCCAGCATAGGGTGCACTAGTGTTTTCTTTGGTTTCAAACCTCGGCCAATCTTCAGTAGTTCAAAGAGTTTCTCAAGATGCTTGGGGTGGCTTTGGATTGCAAGCTCAAACTCATTCATCAGCATGTGACGACGCTTCAAAAATGTGAGTTCATCACGCTCGACAGCCATCATCTCGTGAGAGATCTTGTAGCGCGCCTTCAGGGCTGGAAGTAACACGCTCTCAAGGTAGGAGCGCTTGCACAAACAAAGAACATCGTCAACATGTAGAAGAAGTAAACATGCTGGCCTTCCATGGTCTTCTGTGGTCTCACTTCTCAGCAAACACGGGTATGCGGCACACTCCACAATCTTCAGGTCCTCACGCAAGAAGGAGCTGAAACTTTCATGCCACATCTGAGATCCATTGCGCTGTCCTGGCAACACCTTGCCAAGTATGTAGTGGGAAACATTTCCACCAGCATCTTCACAAACCACCTGTGTCAGTTCACGTTGGTCGACCATCAGAAAAGCATCATGAACAAACATGGGAGAAGTCGAACTGTAAGGATAGAGGAAGCTGGAGAGAATAGGTCCTGCCTCTCAGGTGAAAGCCATGCATATTCTCTGGCAACGTAGCGTGACCTACGCAGCCAAACATGTTCTCCATCCAAATGTTTGTCCCTCCATGTCCTCACCATTCTGGTAGTGAGTTTCTTTGGTGTTTGGTCCGCCGCATCGAAGTCCTCAGCTGGGATCAGCACACCCATCGCCTTCAGGCGGCTGATTTCGAGTTCATCTGCCAAAAGATCCAATTGAAGAAGTGTGGATGGATCCAGTTCAGGCTCAAAAGTGCTATGAGGAACACCCAAACGCTTGAGAACATTGTCAGATGCAACATCAGTTGCTGCACCTTCACAACTTTCGTCCTCCATCTCGTACTCGTGCAACTCCAAGGTGTCAACATCACCATCCTGAAAATCTAGAGATCCTCATGCTCAAAGATTGCCATGATACGAGCCTGTTTTGTCGGCCTATTGGCCTCATCAACATCACTTGCACCTTCACGTCCATGTACTCCACAACCAGGCAGTGTGGTCCCTGCATGGCCTGAAGCACTGCTAGGCTCAGAACTGCTTGGCATTGTCAATGGCAAAGGAGCTGGTGTCATGGGAGTGCTTGGTACTTCCAGTCCAACTGAAAGTGGGATCCCCGCCTCAGCTGAGACCTCCATTTGCGTCTCAAGTTCACCTGCAAAAACATCAGGAGCTAAAACGCTGGAAACTGGTGGAGCAACTGCAGCAACTGGTCTGGTAGGTTGAGGACCATCCTCTTGCTCAACAGGAGTTGGGGGCAAGTTCATCACTGCCTCAGCATCCAAATCCCTTGGCTTGACTTCAGGAAGAGAAAGAATAGGTGGTGCAGATATACGCTTGGCCAAAACGAGCTGTGAACCTAAAGAGGCATAACCAAAACTCCAAGGACAAGCTTCCACATTTGCTATTCCATCCATATTCCACGGCTTTGGGAAGCGTCTCACGCTCCTTGTCACAAAAAGTTGTGTGCTACCAGAAACTGCTATGATGTGCACGTCATTACTCATAGTTTTCCCTAACCAGATTCCACGTGTCCACTGCGGTGAACCCTTTGTAGTTCTTTTCAAAAATCCCAAAACACTCTCACCAAAAAGTGCCAAACATCCTGTATACATTTTGTTGGCGCAAAGTTCATAGGCTGTTGAACCCTTTCTAATAACAAAACGATTGTGCAACCAGGAGCTATGTAAAAGTGCGCAATGGTATAGAGGATGATGACAGCCAATTGTTTGTCCAAGTCCACAACCTTTCTCCCACTGGTCGATGAGAAGGTTGGCCTGCTGTCTGATCACCTTCACAGTCACTTCAGCTTGGATGCATGACTTCCCGGTGGCACAGTTTCTGTTATGGTCTGAATACCCAGTCCACGGCAGGTTTTCTTCACGGCCTCAAGCAAAGAAAGTGTTGATGGCTCTTGATCACATTTCAAACCAACTGTTGTGTGTCCCAGCCAAACCAAAAATCTGCAAAACTCTGTGCAAAGATAGTTGAGGTAACGACCTCCTTTGGCAGGAGTAGGAATCACATGCATAGCGCCAGTATTTCGGTCATGGATATACAGTGCACATGAAGTATCTTCACCAGCAAGTCTCGAAGAATATCCAAAGTCAAAAGAGACACATGAATGTGAAGTAGTTGAATGATCTTGCTCTTTGTGTGGATCTTGAACAGCACGGTGTGCAACACAAAGCTCACACCAGGGCGCAAACGGCTGGTGTGTAAGGCTATGCCTTGCTTGTTCTTCGGCTGAAGGTTCATCTGGCACGGGCTGTGAATAAACAGGTCTTGCTACTTCACTTTGAAGCTGATGATGTGCAGCATGTGCAGCTAGCAATTCTTGGGCTTGTAGATGCTTCCAAAGTCGTTTCAAGCACTTGCTCTTGCCTCCAGTTTTGCTAAGACCCAAAGAGTCACATGCAGCTCTCAAGGTCCTCAAAGGTGAATTGGTGTCGAGTTTAACACCATCAACCCAAACTTCATGGTGCTCCATGCCATCTTCTCTTGCTTCAACTGGGGGCTCTGCGTCCTCTGCAGCTGGTATCACATCCACGCCAGGTTGCTCTGCAGGTTCAGCTGTATCAGCCGGTCGAAGTGGCCTGACAGGGATTCCAGATCTTGGAGCAATGATGTCATCAGATACCGAAAAACCAAGATGTTCAGGAGGAACCATGGAGGTGTGAGCAATAGTGATAGATTCCACCACGCGCTTCTCAGTGTTGAACGGTCCAACCCTGGTGGGTAATTCAGCAATGCTCTGTCCAAATTCCTCCAGTTCCCATTCACCATCATCACCCTTGATCAAAGTTGTACGCAACCAAAGCAAACCGCTACTAGGACAATAAGTTGTGTCAACATGATTTGGAGAAATACTTCGAAGACCAAAAACATTCTCACTCAATTGAATCCAACCTTGTCCCATGCCTGTCAAAGCTCTGCCCAAAGTAAGGGCTCTCACATGTTCTGCAGACTGCACCTGGCCAGAAGATGAAGAAGTTGAGGATGAAACGTCAGTGTTCTCTGTCAGCATGCGTATCACTCCAGTGGCACACAAAGAATTGCGCTTGAAGTGAACTGGTATGTGCCTATGCTTTCTGACAAGGTTCTTGGTTCCATCACCCTCATTCTGCAAATGCCATCCATCTTTCAACAACCTTATCTATAAATCAAACCTGCTATGGCGCAACGTCTCAGGTGTACAAGAGCGTCTAAACACGCAACATAGACTGCGCGTAGGGTATGGGAATTAAACACTAAAAACAAAGCAGTATTAAATCAAACAACACAGGGTACAGGGTCGCAAACGAGCGTGCACTCATCCTAATGCGAAACGCACCAAATGTTGAAAAACGAAACAAATAAAAACGCCGTGATAAATATGAGTGCAAACCCTCGGACAGCCGTCTCTCTTTTTGAGCGAACGCATGGGGAATGTTCGAGTTTCCCTCAGTCACAAAGGGCTGAGGGTGTGGCTTAATTATACAAACGTGGTTTTTGTCAGTGGTGGGTGGGTGGGTGAACAAAAACTACGATGCGTAGTGGACAAACCCGCCCACCCACCACTAGCCAGGCAATGGTGCAAACGTATAATTAAGTGTGCCAAGGTGAAACATGGAATGGTTCCTGTTTGAAATAAAAAGGGTACAGCAAACAGGTTTTGAAAAAGAAACAGGTTGTAAAAAGGAAGTTGATCACAACTCTCACTAACAAACCGAAAGCAAACTCGGTAATAAAAGGCGCAGTGAGAACCTTGATCAACACAGGCCAGCGGAACACCGCGTAGCACGCAACGCGTAGTCAGTAGCGCGAAGACGCGGAGACAAGGGAGACGTAGGGACAAGAATCGCGCATAGCAACGTTGCGTGTGCAAAGCCATGCATTCATGGCAAATAAGGCGCAACTGGTTTGAGGTGTACAAGATAAGGCATTATCTGCTTTGCAGAAAAGTGCTTATCTATAAATCAAACCTGCTATGGCGCAACGTCTCAGGTGTACAAGAGCGTCTAAACACGCAACATAGACTGCGCGTAGGGTATGGGAATTAAACACTAAAAACAAAGCAGTATTAAATCAAACAACACAGGGTACAGGGTCGCAAACGAGTGTGCACTCATCCTAATGCGAAACGCACCAAATGTTGAAAAACGAAACAAATAAAAACGCCGTGATAAATATGAGTGCAAACCCTCGGACAGCCGTCTCTCTTTTTGAGCGAACGCATGGGGAATGTTCGAGTTTCCCTCAGTCACAAAGCCCCATCTTGAAATTCCATTGTGGGACTCGCATTCGTTGTGCATAGCATTGTGATCAGGCTGTTGTCCAAGCGGGTTCTTTTGGCACCGCGCCGCTCTAGTTCATTGAATCGCCCTCTCGATGGATCATCGCCGAGATTCGAGTGAGTCGGGACGCAGATGAAGAAGGGATGCAGGTCACTGGCCGCTTCTCTCATAGTGCCATTGTGGATGACCTTCTGTGCTGTTAGCGACTGAGCAAAACCAGCAATCCAACAAGCTTTGGCAGCTTCGTGTCGTAAAAACGAAAACACAAGCATGCCTCAGGAGGTGTCCCCAAACCCACAAGCAAATGGCATGCGGTAACACTTCTGCTTCAAAGGCATGTTGAACCTGGTCGGCACGACCCCCCCCCACGTTCTGCCTAGGGAGAGGCACACCACGCGGCCAAAGTAGCGTAACAACCTCCCGTGCTTATCTGCCCAAACAGCACCTATGGATACACCGCTCCATTCGTCTCCAGCCGTGGGTTCTGAGCAAGCTCCATCCCAAAATAAGAAAAACGTCTCACTCTCAACGTTAGAAATAGACCGGGGTGCTCCGGTAAGCACATGGCCCTCGAAGAAAGGATATTTCGTACCAGCATCCCCCCCACAAACATGGCCATGATTGTGGGGTGAACAAGTTTGCAAGCTTCGGCCAGAAATTGACTTGATTCTTTGGGGATGCCAACCAACTTGGGGATGCCAACCAACGTAGCCTTTGGCAGCCCAACTTTTGCGTCGGCACGCCAACCAACGCAGCCTTTGGCAGCCCAACTTTTGCGTCGGCATCGATACTGCCCCCCCTCAGAAACATTCACAAAGCGCAAAAGTTTGGAGCCCTTGGGGAACGCACTGCAGTGGTCAGGGATGCGCTTGCCAAGGGCCAGTGTTCGAACGTCGGGCAATGACGTGATATCGACTGCAGTGGCTGCAAACATTCCGTGGGCAGTGGCAACGATTTCCACCCTCGTGGAAGGCAACCCAAGCTTGCTTTGTTGAGGTATGTTGCAGCAGTCGATGTGGCTTGTATCTCAACAACAGTCTCAGCTGGTTTGGAGAAGTCTTGGGTCAAGGCAGTCATAAACGGCCTCCGCCCAGGTGCCGCACAATGTATCGTGGTAGGCGCATTCATCAGCTGTTGCAAAGCCTGTGCAGTTTTGCTTTAACGTTGATGCTCATGTTGGTCATCGCACTTTCGTTCGAGGTGCGTGCGCAATTGGGCCACGCTTGTCCAGAGTGCTGTGTCTTTCTTCCTCTTTGCTGCAAACATACATGCACGGGAGGAGAAGGCAATCAGGTCGGGGATGGCTTCAAGCAACTGGACAACTGGATCGGTGATCGACATCAATGAATTGGCTGGGTTTCTTCGACACTCCACGCAGTGCCTTTTTGCAGACAACATCACAATCATTTTGCAAGTCCATGCTCAAAGGAAATCTGCCTCGCCAACTCTGTGACGTTGAACAAAACTGAAGTTGGGAAGGCCCATTGGAAAACTAACTGACCTCGGTAAGGGAGGTCCAGGCTGTACATTCATCGCTGCACTTGCTGTGCCACATGGAGGTGCAAAATGCACATACAAAACTTTGTCCGACTGAATCAATCCTCAAGCACTTTGCGCTGGTCGGCCTTCGAAATGTCAATCCGCAACATCGGCACTCCCTCGAGGGCCACATGATCAACTGAGACGACCTGGGATTGCTTGGCACGCAATCTTTTTTTAAGAGTTTGGCCTGGCCGCAGAAGGGCCACGTCCATTTGCAATTTGCCCGAAGGTTCCATGCGGATGCTTGATTTGCATCATTCAAATGTTTTTCATCCACTGTTCTTTGTCGGCCCTCAAAACTGCTGCTATGTCGGGTGCCTTGAAACCACCAGGCGGCGCCTCGTCATGTGAGTCATGAAAGCGTTCCTGACTTTTTTCATGTGTAGCATAGCTTAACAATCCAGCTTGCTCGCATGCTAGGCCACGCCTGATGAAAGCATTCTGCATTTGTCCCAAATCTGTGTAGAGATCGGCAGCAGCATCGGGAGCTCGTTCTGACTTGTAGTTGTTGGTCTTCAAGCACCGCAATGCGCTCGTCAACTGGCTGCTACTGTAGCTCCTGTTCTCTGCTGGTGCATTTTGACGAGGACAAGTATCGTGGTGCAGATTCTTCCAACATTATCGTGAAGAAGTCGACAACTGCATGGGCTGGTTCATAGTCACCTTGAATGGTGAAGCCAGTAGTCGAGGCAGATTGCTTTCGAATCCGTTGATCTCGTTCTTGAGGTGGCAGTCGCTTGATCTGTACTTTCTGCTGTGGTTCAACCGGAAACCCGATGGCTGCAACTGCAACCGTAATCGCTTCGTAGCTCAGCTGTCTCATCATCGACTCCAAGCCTGTTGTAGGTGCATCCTGCATCGAGTTGAAGGTCTTCCGGTTCTGTGTCTCTGTGCATCGATTTCAGCAGTTTACAGCCCAATTCTCAGTGCACCGATGTTTGAAACTGGCTGCTGATTCTGCAGAGGCGGCCATCGACGCATGTCGACTCGTGAGCTGGTCAAATGAAGATGAATGAGCAAACCTGACAGGTGCTCTCGTTTAGAGTTGTGAGGCTATGTTCACATGCTTTGCAATTTGTACGCCAGTTTAAAAAGAAATGTTTGCAACGCGATGTGCAGGTGTACAAATTCACAACATGCATGGTTGTACAGACTGAAATCACTGAGTCCAAATGGTTTTTTAACAAACCAGTGTTCAATTGTGCATGGCGTGCAAAATGCACGACTTGATTGAATGTGCAGCGACCGGATTGAGGTAGCAAATTGTTCACGGATGGTGCAAAACGTTCAACCCTCTGAAGGCGGTGAACAAATGTTGTGCATTCACGACATGTACAACCACCCCAGGGTGTGCAGCTTTGATCTTTTTGCAAAATGAAAGATTCATGGTGATTTCGACCTCTGGCCATGCGGAGGTGGTGATCAAGTGTTGTGCATTCACAACATGTACTGTCATCACACATGTTCATTTCTAAAACTACAAAAAAAAGGAAATCACATTGACAACTTTGATCAACGACACGAATGCTCTGACTCAAAAAATCTTTTCCGCAGTGTCGTCTCGAGCTGCTGCTATATGCATCATGACGCCATCGCTGCGCTGCTGTCGCATGCAGCTACTGCCTCCCTGCTGCCGAAACAAGTGGCGCACTTTGGCCACTCCTCTGACGCTCCAGATGCTCTGCTATCATAGCGGTCGTTGCAAACTCGACCACACAGGAACTTCTTCTCTGATGGTTGTTTCAAACGGACCACGTATGAGATCGAGTGCACGAATTTCTCCAAATGAGTCCCAACATCCACCAGAGTGCGCCTAAGCACAGGGCGCAGCAACTCCCACAAGGTCGTGGCATCATTCACAGTCTCGCTTGAGGTTGATCCTGCATCGGATGAGCTATCTGTGGTGGTTGCGTCAGTGTCACCGCCAACTCGGTCACCATCACTGAAAGGAAATTCATAGGAGCCGTCAGAGTTCTCCCCGCTGTTCGTTGCAGCGACGATCATCGGCTGTTGCTTCAGAAATCTCCCTGATTGAGTGACATCAGGGGCAAAAGTGCCCTTGATAACTGCATTCACCACCTGCGCCACAGCACGCATCGCCGGGGCCATACTGTCACGTGCATACGTCTCTGCACTCTTTGCCCCAACATCCAAGTGGTGCCCGACCAATCGTCGGACGTGAAGTTCCGTGCCATCTTTTGCCAACCATGAAAGCATTGTAACCTTGCATGAATGGCTGCGCACAACATTGCGTCTTTCAGTTCTGGCATCCGGACATTGGCGCAGGAGCTCCCCAATCTCCGACGCGGTGAGGTTCTGTTCCAGCGGTTTGCCATCTGAATCGAACCTGCATAGCAACGGCCAACTTAGGCGGCCTTCAGTTTCGAGTCCAAGGGCCATACGTGCTTCCAGGAAAGTGTCCCGCCACTTTGCACCACTAAGGCTCATCATTGGGGCTACCGCTGGGAGGAGCATTCGCCTGTGAACATCGCTCCTTGCACCCTTGTTTCCAAGCACTGCCAGTTCGATGAACCCCTCAGGTTCATTTGAGTCAAGCTCGTCCAGGTGCCTGACGTCCCTGTCAACCAACATTTTGATTGCACGTGCCATGTCTGAAGTCCTTGCACTGCCGTAAACCATCAGTAAAATCCCTCCCAAGAGTACCCTGTCTTGCAATGATTCAGAATAGCAGCAAGTCAGTTCGACCTTCTTGATCTGCTCAACTGTCAACGCAACCGCTTGTTCAATCACAGGTGCTTGCTTGACCAATGAGTCTGCTAGGCCTGCGACGCTCTGAGATATGCGCAGGCCTAACATTGAACTTGTAAATCGCACAACTTCCAAAAAAGGCTTCCCTGAGCAACCTCGTGCGCAAGCATCTGTTGAAAGACTGAAAAGACAGGCATGCATGCAACTGTCGTCCAGCGGGAACGGTGACATGGCACTGGCAGCGCAAAACTCCGCAAACCTTCTCATGGCACCCAACCTCTTTCCCACCGTGCTGGTGGCTTTCCTAGATAGGTGCTCCACCACCGTGGTGTACACTGCTGCACGCAGCTCCGTTTCCAGACTCTCACAGCGAGCTTCGTCGGATGCTGCAAATGCAAAAAGGTTCAAACGAACAACTGAAGTCCAACCAGCCATGAAGTTGGCTCTCTGTGTTTCTTCATGCACAACAGCGCCACGTTTGATGGTTCTCGAATACAGCGCTTTGAACTGGCCCCTCCTAAGAGCCTTCTGAATGGGCACCTCCTCCATCTCGTCGCTTGTCAAATCGACTGGCCAAGATGCAGGTCTTTTCAAAGAAACATGCGGGAAGGGGTCATCAACAACATTGCCCTTACCTGCAGGCCTTTTCAAAGCTACGTGTGGGAAGAAGTCAGCAACAACATTGCCCTTTTCAAAGACCGCACCGAGGAAATTGTTCTGTTCCCAAATGAATTGTGGCTTCTGCAAGTCCAAAATTAGTGCAAAACCCCTCTGCGTAGCACTGTGGCTCCTGCATCTGTCGTCTGACATGGTGTCCATGACCGTGTCTCCAGCCGCTGAACATGCAAGGCTTGAGGTGATGAAACCATCGTCAGCTATTCCAGCATTAATGTAAGCGGGAGCACTGTCAAACAAAAATGAGTCAAAATTGATGTCCAAATGTGCAGGGGCTTCAACCGGTGCTGTGTGCAGAGCTCCTCTTCCACGTGAATCATAAAATCGCTCGACGGAATCACCGGCAAGTGGCTTCACTGAGGCAAATGATTCGACTGGGTCTGAGGTGAGTTCACGACCGTTCCAAAACCCATCATCACCTGCAAGTAAACCGTCAGCAGCCTGATTCGAAATTCGTGAGTCAATATACCCCCACTTGACATTCCAAAGTACGGCATTGTGTCGGCAAATAACGCTTGAGTTGCAATACTTGCTGTGTCGACCTGCGTCCACTGGCCGCTGCGTATCACATGCAGCAGTCCAAACAGAAATGAAGGATTTAGTCCCACCAGTGCTCTTCACATCGGTGGTATCCATGATCACCTGTTGCAGCACAAAAATTGTCGCAAGTAGCCATAGAACAGATGAAATGGCACTGATCGGCAGGCAATGGGCCGGATGGTGTCGAGGGCGCCGGCACCCGCCAAGGATATGCAGTGGAGGATGCTGTACCATCAACTGGCATGGCGGCTGCGTCCGCGCCATTGTCATCCTCGGCCTCGCCGATTGTTGCTGCCACTTCGATTGGGATATTCAATCGTCTGGTCAATTCGCACACCAGGGCGATGAGCAAGGATACCAATTGTGGCACTGTGAGGGCTGTAAGTTGAGAAGCGTCCATGGGGGATGATGTGAACAAAAACTACGATGCGTAGTGGACAAACCCGCCCACCCACCACTAGCCAGGCAACGGTGCAAACGTATAATTAAGTGTGCCAAGGTGAAACATGGAATGGTTCCTGTTTGAAATAAAAAGGGTACAGCAAACAGGTTTTGAAAAAGAAACAGGTTGTAAAAAGGAAGTTGATCACAACTCTCACTAACAAACCGAAAGCAAACTCGGTAATAAAAGGCGCAGTGAGAACCTTGATCAACACAGGCCAGCGGAACACCGCGTAGCACGCAACGCGTAGTCAGTAGCGCGAAGACGCGGAGACAAGGGAGACGTAGGGACAAGAATCGCGCATAGCAACGTTGCGTGTGCAAAGCCATGCATTCATGGCAAATAAGGCGCAACTGGTTTGAGGTGTACAAGATAAGGCATTATCTGCTTCGCAGAAAAGTGCTTCCCATTGAAATCAAAGGAGAAGTGACAGCTGCTATAATGAAACGCTCACGAAAAACAACAGGGCCAAAACGTACTTCTGCAATCCTTGCACCATTGACTGAAATTGGTTTCCCTTGTGCATTTATGTATGATGAACCATCAAAACTTTTGTCAACACATCCAACATTGGCATACTCCATGGGGAGGACTGAGCCGTCGGCCCCTGAGTCCAATACCACCTCCACGCTTTTGGGTTCTGAAAAACCAAACGCTCTAATGCAGTGAAAATTGTAAACATCCTCATGCACATCTTCAGACAACATACATTGTTCATCATAATAAGTCCAGTCATCGTCAAAGTCCATGTTGCAGAAACCACCATAGCTATCAATCACTGTCAGATCATGAAGCTCGATCTCAGAAGCATCTGAAGGAAGCTCTTCAACCAAGGGCTCAGGGCAGGTCACCAAACGCACGGAAGCTGAACGCGGCATGCTAGAAACAGTGCTGGCACCAGAAGAACTAGCAGCAGGTGGAGAAGCTTGTTGATCACCACCAGAAACTTGATTCACGCTCTTCCCATCAGGTTTGCCATGAAGCTTCCAGCAATCACGCTTGAAATGTCCATATTTTCCACAATGAAGACATTGGTCACTTGAAGTGGCACTGCGCTGAGATGGTTTCCCACCTTTGCCTTTGCCCTTGTCTTTGATTTCCCTTTACCCTTTTAAGGGTCCTTACTCTTTGATTTTCCCTTCTGTTTTCCTTTGGATTTCCCTTTCTCAAAACGATCAACTTCCATTGGGGCTACACCACCGTAATTTGAGGTGGAAACACTTGAGGAAACAGGCAAAATGCCTAACTCACTATGTATCTTTGTGGTGGACCAACTTGTTGTTGTCTTTTCATATCCAACAACCAAGGAACGCACTTGAGCATACGTGGAGTTCTCGTTCATCTGCAACTGAATGTGCTGCTGAATGGCCTTTGGCAAAGCACGCACCAAAACAGAAAGCATGATGTCGTCGGCAATGTCTGACCCACTTGCTCTGACATACTCAGTGCGCAGTCTTTCCAATCCAAGAATTTGGTCAAGCAGAGTGCGGTCTTTCTGAGTGAATCCAGGGATGTTCATCAAAGCGCTAAGTGTAGAAATGGCTCGAGACTTGGTCTTTGGCTGAAATAACTGTACCAGTTGACGCCAAACTTCAAATCCATTTCTGCCTTCAACTTGCCTCAGCATTCTAAGTGGCTTCCCACGCAACAATCCAGTGAGAAGGCTATACAGTTGACTGCAACGATCCTGAGTCTCAGCAGATTCACCTGAAACGTTCACAATGGGCTGGTCAGCATGGGTGACTTCGATCCTGTGCAAATCTAACTCAAAGCGGGGTTGGCGTAGAACAACCATGCTCGAAAATTTGTGCTAAAATCTTGCCAGTTGTTCAAGTCTGTGTCATGGACCTCTGAGCCAAAGGGATCAGGCTGTCTAACACCTTTGATGCCTCATGAAACTTCGAAGCGCCTGACCTGGACTGCTGTTGATCTCGTAGAGCTTGGGCTGCATCACTGGCTGCCTGAGCTGCATCGCTAGCTGCTTGCACCAATCTGGAAAATGTCATCTGGAGTCAGTGAAGCCATGTCCTACAGACAGAAGCTACCTAACAACCTAGGTCCTAGATCGGATGCCCTGCACATTGGCTAGGGCTCCGCTACCATGATTCTTTTCCTTGAAAGCGAAACGCCTGTGGATATATGTATGATTCAATTGTACATGCATGTCATGGCAACTGCAAATGACGACATGTTGAAGTCACAAGTTCAAGTGAAATGCCAATGCATGCAACTGTTTACACTGATATATATATATATATATGGGATGTGGGTCAGGTCAAATCCAACCAGAATTGAAATCTTCGCATGATGGTGAAGTACGGGACCAAGACCACAGCCAGGGCTTTGGTCATGGTCAGCCCTTTGGATGATGCTACGTCTGCTGCGCTCTTGTCTGTGGCCTGCTGGCATGATACGGGTCCTCAAGACCGTGGAAGGTGAGAGTCAATGCAATACGATGGAGCATGCGGAGCAAGTAGCTCCCAAGCCGAAATATGCTTTTGCATGTCGTCGCCCACCCAGTCCGATACAGATTGTGTTTCGGAGGGACGAATCTGAAACTGAAACCAGGCCACTGAACCATCAGGAGAAAATGCTGCACCTCCCAAGCCAGCTAGATCCTTCGATGCCATCGCATCTGCAGTAGCCTCCAGTTGAACATGGGTCATTGGCAGCATAGACAATGAGAAAGGTGTTGAGACCAGCAGTTCAGACCATACTGACAGCGCATCCAGAGCCTCGCCGTCAAGCTTGCGGTTGGATCAGTGATGCCAACCCAAATGCGTCGAGACTTGATGTGAAGGGACTGCGCCTCCTTGTGAAAACACGAGAGCGGCGTGGCAGCTCTTTTTCACAGCTCGGACTTGAGCCAAACCACACAGGTTTGACAGCTCAGTCACTCTTCTTCTTAGAAGAGTCGTGCAGAGTAAAACGCAGTGACACTCAAACGTTCTCAAACTTCTCAAACTACTTCAAAAGAGTTCTCAAGCTTCAACGTTCTTCGAGCTTCTCCAAATAAAACGTCTTCAGCTCAAACTCAAAAATAACCTACAAAACTCCTACCAAATAAGTTCACAACATCAAGTTCCTAAGACATGGGTCAAACAACATCCAAAAACACCAAAAACCACAAAAACAAACGAAAATCCATCTCCAAGCTCATCCATGCACAAACTGGTTCCATTTGGTTCCAAATTGGTTCCTACCTGGTTCCTATAGGTTCCTATGGGTTCTATAGTCACAGATCGGTTCCTACAAACTTAAAATGGTTTCCTACTTGTTCACATGCACATGCATTATTCCAAGATAGGTTTAAAGATGTTCAAGTAGGTTCAAGGTGGTTCAGTACACTGTACATCCTCTCACCAAACTTTCACACCCCTGCTTGGACAGTAGTGCTGTACACCGAAGTACCTATAGACTACCATACCGTTTGTAAGGCAACTAAGGTCTGAACCCACACAACTAAGATCCAGACATCACCAACTAAGATCCATGCTCAACAACTAAGCTAGGAACTAGCACACAGAAAACTCGAAATGTCCTGTGTTTTAATGGTGCCCTCAGATAGATGGATGGTTTTATGAGAAACGTGTCTCTTTGACTCCATCTTGTAATCATCATAGGGCAGTGGCAGCGGTGCAAAAAGAGACCAACAAACCATACCCCATAACCATCTTTCTAAGTAACCCACAACTTTGAAACTGAGTTCACAACTTCTGCACAAAGTTTTGTTTGAAAACGTTTGGCATTTGAAAACCTTGGCATTTGAAACTGTCTCACGTTTGTCATCATCATCTCATCTAAGTAAAGGGGAACTCGTGCCAATGATCTCTCCTCTGGACCCGATCTTGACTGCCAGACTTTTGGGTATTGGGATAACCCCCAAAGGGTACCAAGTATCCACGCCTCTGGCCTGTGATCTTGGGAACCCTAAACCTCTCAATCTAGGATCATTCAAACCAAATCCAAAACAAACTGAAACAACATTTCAAACACGGTTTTCAAATGTTTTCAACTTGGAATCTTGGCTTCCGAACTTCCAGGCTCGAGAAGTTCCTCAGTCATGTTGTCTTCTAAACCCTTGGTTATCAGCCCAAGCAACTGGTAGCTGAGCCATGGGCAGCCCTTTTTCTGAAAAGACATCCACGGTACAGTCATCAACGCTGAAAGCATTTGGCCATCCTACTGGCATGTGGGAGTCTTCAAGAAGTCCATCACCATTTTGCTCAATGATTGTGCCCAGCATAGGAACATCAATTGTTGCCTTGAGGCTAACCTGCGCACGTTTGCACTTCCATGTATCCGGCGCGAGCAAGCCACGGGCGGCCAGTAATGCAAGTGCTGGGAATTCCGGTTGGTCTTGCATCGGTAGTACCTCTTCCTTGACTAACTTAAGCGTGCAGCGGTTGGGGTTGCTGCCATCGAGGACCTTGGTTTGGTTGAGGCGTGGTCTCTTTGGGTACTAAAGGCACCGCAATGTCTTCAAACCAGGTGGGGCGGACCGACTGGACGCCTATTGCACTGGCGGAACTTGTGTTCTTGATGCTTTCTCTGCGGAGGCTGGTATACAGGAGGGATCATCCATGCCGGCACAAAGACAGTGATAAACTGTACATTCCAGATCACCTGCAGGTTCTGTGGCTTAATTTCAGGCGTGATGCATCTCGCTTGACCATCTATGACTCGCGTGTATGATTCGGGGCGGTTAAAAGATGCTGTGACTTTGAGGCCGAGGTATAGCTCTCTAAACCAGTATTCTTTGAGCAACATAAAGGAAAGATGAGGTGCCCTCACTTCCAATACGTGCGTTGCTGGTATCAAAAAGGTGACTAACCATTCGGCCAGAAATTCAATCATCCTTGCTTCTAGCTTTGGGAGGATTTTCTGGACCGCTTGGAGCGCTGCCTCGATGTCTGGGACATGCGTAGGCGAGGGCAGTCCGACTGTTCGCTTGGCATATTCGTCAGCAAAGTAGAGTCGGTACAATTTGGAAACCCACTGGCTGGATTTCTCCATATCGATCGTGATCTTCGCTAGGGGCCATGGGTCGGGCAGTGCAGTAACTCGGAAGTTAGTTCTGGGGTGATAACTGGGAGAGTCCCTCCTTGTGGTCGGTAATCCACAGTTGCCCCTGCTGTGCCCTTGCTCATTTGTGTGTGGATGTGAGCAGCCTTATGCACTTCGTGTATGGTGGACTCATATTGGTTGACCATAGCCCTTAAGTACTTACATGCGCGGACTGCTGCCCTCCTTGTGTTTGGCCCATCTTCGGTCTGGTTCTTAGTGGCTGTTGCAAGGATGTCTCTCGCTTCTTCTTCAGGCGACCGAGTAGGTTCTGCACCAGGCGCAGGTGCAGTCAAAGCAGTGTCTTGGACTGGCGCGTCTTTAGTGCGTGGCAGGTGGCCGTGGATTGGTAGCCTTGGGTGTACCCGCCATCCATCAAAGAAGTAGATACCTGGCAAAGGCAGGATTTCCTGCTCTGGGCCGGTCTGCGCCACTACTTGTCCCGTGCTGTAGAAAAAGCGCCGTGCACAGATCTGCGATCAGATCCAACGCTTCATCCAAAATTCCTACAGAACTACGCAGGCGGACGCGTACGTCAACCACGCACACCAAACACAAGCGCAGAGCGTAAATTCACAAACCTAATTAAACTAAAGCAATACCGTGTCAAAAGGAATGTTTCTCCCTCGACTCCCACATGCTGACGTCAAGCTCCTTCTTTTCGCTCCAGACGCAACACGATCAGTCACGGAGAAACACAAACACAACAAACAAACACAAAGACAAAACAGGAAGCAGGAAAGCGAGATGTGTTCGTGTTCCCTGTGTCGGTCTGTCTTATGTCAAGTTATGTGACACAGCAGCTCTTGTTCATTAAATGAACTTCTGACACCAGTCCTTCGAGCCGATGTCTCAACTGGTAAACTCGATTCCAGGTTTCCAGTTAACAAACCTCAAGTTCTTCAAATAAAGGTTTGTTGAAACTATTCCAGCTGCTAGAAGTCTACAAAACTCAATTTTCACTAGATGAATTCAAAATCATCGAAACACTTCCAAAAGTTCTCAAAGCAAACTGGTTCTCATCCAAACGTGAATAACCAGCTCATTAGTCACAAGCTGACTAACTTCTCAAGAACGAAGTGATTCACACAAGGTATCTGTACAACCTTCTTCTGGATACAAAACATAGTCAGAACACAAAGTTCCTTCTCCAAATCAGTTTTCCACATAGAGATAGCATCTCACAGCTTCCAACCTCAATGTAGAATAGAATGTTCTGTTCGACATTGTCAATGTAGGTCAGCCAAATACAGTTGTATCGCTGAAGTCTTTCGACCACTGTAATAGCCAATCCACAATGTAGACCAAAGTCTTCTCAAAACAATGTCGTCCTCATAGAGATAACCAAAGTCGTCTCAGGAACGATAAAACGCACACCATAAGATCAAGTGTATGATCCATAGGTCAGAATGACGATGATGTAGGTATTGTCCTCACAATACCGAAACATCTCATCACAAAACTCTCAGACAAATAAGATGCCCAAATATGGCCATTGTCTTCACAATACCAATGCATCACTCAAGCCCAAGCACAAAGTATAATAGGTCTCTCCATCAGATATTTCGAGCTACTTAAACTCTTCTCAAGAGTTTCTAGCTGTGTTCTCATCACTTTGGAGAGAACAAGCCTCACAATGTTCGTGTCCAGAATGTCGTGGACACGAAGAAGCAGTCTCAAAAACCAATGTAGGTATCTTCAGTTCAAGCAATAAGCTGTACCAGACTCAAGTCGAATCCAGAATAAGATGTAGAACTGATCAATATACCACAATCACTGGTCAACACTGATCAATGACATCATCCTGATGTCAGAAATGATAAGTCCGAAGACTAATAGAATATTGTGACACAGGATGGTCACATACAAGATTCCTTCCGCAATAAGTAGAGTGTTCTCTACCAATCTTCCATGACCTCTTACAGTATCATCGCGTCATGAA